ATTCTCCCATATACTTTAAATCACCTCGAGATTACTTACAATACCTAATACAATGGAAATGCTATGTAAATAGTTGCCTGCATGCAGCAAACTCAAGTTTTGCTTTTTTGGAACTTTCTGGAATTTTTTTTCCCGAATATTTTCCATCCACAGTTGGTTTAATCCAAGAATGTGGAACCTGTGGACATAGAGAACTGACTCTACTCTGCACACAAGGGCTGAATGGGCAGACCTCTGTGGTAGGCAGAAGGGAGTATAGCTCATCAAGGGAAATCCTGGAACAACACGAGGCCTCAGTTAGTCTGTAGTTAGAGCAGACAGGGCTTTTTTGGCCACATTAAGGAACCGTGATTTGACCCTAATGGTGATGTTTTCCCAGGAAGGGGGCATGATTAGATTGGTGTTTCCTAAAACTCATTTGGGCTGCTGTATGAAGAGTGAGTTATGAGAGTGTCTGAGGAGAATCACTGACTCCAATAAGTAAGATATCACCCCTGTGGAGCTGGGGGAGAATATATTTATGTATTCTTTCCTCTGTTCACTCATTCTTTAAGTTATTCTCCAAACGACATATAAAGAACAAACTGGATAGTTATCTTGGTGTTACATTACTATGCTATCCAGGGCCCTGATCTAACAGGTCACAAATCTGCTTTCACCTTCATTTACCCAGCTAGTTATTCATTCATACATCTGCCCTTCAGTCCATCTGTCAATTTAAAATTTATTCAGCACCTAAGTATATATAAGGCACTGTTGTAGACACTGAAGATACAAAGATGAATACAGCATAGGCCCTACCCTAGGCTTTACTAACAGTCTAATGTGTGAGACAGATAGGGAAACAATTTTAATACGACTAGATAAAGGCTAATGGATATGTTTACATAAAGGAAGGGCTGATTAGCTAGCATATAATGCTGCATCAAATGGACATCTTTTACCAATATAAAAGAACAAGGAGCAAAATTCTCCGATTTTAAACAACGCATATTGTAGATATTGGTCAATTGCCATTTGTTTTCCACATGTTACCTATAGGCATTAGTGGGAAGAGGGATTGAAAAAAATGTAAATATAACAAGAAATAAACATTCGTATATTTTAATGGAGAATTTGTAACTAATCAGCTGTGGCTGTTTTTATAATACAGCATTTATTGTTAAGTTTTTTTGGGATCAGAACAACAACACAATGTTATGTGCCTTTTAACATGGTTTATGTTACTAGACAGGAAGCGAAAATACTGAGCTATCAAGTTCAAAAATTCATGGTTGACACCAGAGAAGTATCATTAAAAATGAACTAGAATATGTGGATAAAGAATCACGATCACCTGTTCTCTGTCTGGTCTTCCCAACTTCAAAATGAACAAAGCTGGTTCTGTTTTGTTCTTCACTAATCCATCCCTCCTCAGAAGAGGAGGATTTTCAATGGTCATTGTAACATGGATGTAACAACTAACCTGGTGATAGCTATTTCTGCACTCCTCTCATTTTCTTGTTTCCTTTGCCTTCCTGTGTAAGTGTCTAACATGGAAGAATTAGTGGTACACTATTTATTAGAATAAAAATACAGAATACTTGGAGGAAAGAAATACATGAAGGAGATTAAGAGGTACAAACTTCCAGTTGCAACATAAACGAGTCTTGGGTATGAAATGCACAATGTGGGGAATATAGTCAATAAGTTGTAGTATCTTTGTATGGCAGCTTGTAACTAGACTTATTGTGATGGTCATTTTGAAATGTACAGAAATATCGAATCACTATGTTGTGTAACAGGAACTAACATAATGTTATAGGTCAATTATACTTCAAAAACCAGCAAAGAAACTCATAGAAAAAGGGATCAGATTTGTGATTACTAGGGGCGAGGGGTAGGGGGAAGAGGTACTGGATGCACAATCAAAAGGTACAAACTTCCAGGTATAAGATAAATAAGTTCTAGGGATATTATGTACAACATGATAAATATAATTAATGTGATTGTGTATTATATATAAAAGTTGTTGAGAGTAAATTCTAAGAGTTCTCATCACAAGAAAAAATTTTTTTTCTATTTCTTTAATTCTGTAGATGCTCACTAAATTTACTGTGATAATCATTTCACGATGTATGTAAGTCAAATCATTATGCTGTATACCTTAAACTTATACAGTGTTGTATGTCAACAATATCACAATAAAACTGGAAGGAAAAAATGAATGCATGAGCAGATGGTATCTCCCGAAACTACGTGGGGTTCCCCTACTTAAGGTAAAAGTCCCACGATAACGCGTGAACGGAGTTATTTAGTCAGCAGCCACTGAAAGCAGTAAGGAGTTAGGAGCCTTCAGCAGCTTCTAGATCATCACTGACAAAAATGACTTAGGTAATTGCTAAAAGGAAAGAAGCATAAGTCATTTCATTTTAAGGAGGCTATCTTTATATACAGTTTAAGTTAGTCTTAGGTTTAGAGCAGAATATAAATCTTTAATAGGAAAAATATTTTTGTGGTTATTTGCAGCATACTCTTACTACCCGCCAATAAGAAAGCACTTTTCTTCCTTACTTCTTCCTACCTCTCTCTTGCCTGCTTTGGACATATAAGTAGCATTAATCACTTTCCAGTAATGTCTTATTCCCTTGTATTACTGAAATCCAGATTATTCTCGGAAAAGAAGAGATGAAAAGGTAACTACTCCTTTTGGTTTAGGTAGTAAACTACTCGGCAGTACTTAGAGGTTTTATTTTCAAACTTGTATATTTGCAAACTCAGTAAATGTGATAGCCACCTTTTTTTCTTCTTTTTTATAATAGCTAAGAGTTGCTGATTACTGAACCATGTGCCAGTCAATGTGGCAAATCCTTTATATGTATAGTCTTATTTAATTCTTTCAACATAATGCCATGCTGGAGTTAATATGATTACAACCATTTTATGGAATAGGAAACCTAACCTTGGTCTAAACCTACCATGACATGGCTAGTATATGGCAGGATTCAAAGTTAACAGTAGAGTTAACTTCAAAGCTGTACAGTCTACTCAGCCTTTTTCCTCTACATATTTTTACTACCCAGATTCACTGCCACATTAATTTGCTATATTATTATTATTGATTATAATTGCATTTTTTCATTTGACCATTCCTAAGTGTCAATCACGCACGCCTCTGGAGGAAAAGCAAATCAAATTTTGTATATCCCTCGAGGAGTTACAAAAAATTGGAAAAGGTATGGAGATGAGCACATTGCAATTTCAAAACCCAAGAGCTATGTAGTAGTACACAGATTGTAGACAGGACCCCTCTGATTGCTGATATATATGAACATAAATAGTGCTCAAAATGTGAGAGAAAGGCCCTCTTTCATTTGTGAGGCAGAATGGGGTTAAAAGTGGACTCTGGCGTGAGCCTGTCTGGGTACAAATCCTAGTCCTGCCCGCTGTAGCTATATGGTCTTGGGAAAATCACATGCTGTAGTTTCTCCAACTTTAAAAAAAAGGAGTAAAAGCAACACCTCCTTTCTAGGGGGTTTTGTGAGGATTAACGTATCTATTGCTTAGAACAGCACCTAGCATGTAATTGTTAGTCATTATTGATATTAATGTTCAAGCCTACTCATTTTCTAGCTAGTATTTATGTATTTATGAAGTCTGATTTTTCTTCCCTACACCACCATGTAGTACTTGTGTCTCAATGAACTTTATTTGCCTCATTGATTGATTGATTGATTGACTGACTGTTATTTGGGGTATGGGAGGGCTGTTTGTTTTCTCACGCTCTGGCCATTTTGATCCTTTCCTAGAGAATCTCACCTATTTCTCTTTAGATATTCTCATTCAGTTTAAGAAACTAAGTCCTCTTCTTTATGTGCTGCAAGGTTACTACCCTTCTTGTCAGACAGAGGATAATTTTCAGTCTGAAAAGAAAATCTTTTGGAGGAAGGAATAAAGCCAGGGAGTTGGGTATATGAGGATACAACTTTCTGGGGATATCTGCTTCACTCCTTCCTTGTATCAGGTCATGTTAAAGTACTTTTGCTTTTCTGTTTCACATCCAGGTAACAGAGTTGATACCCACAGAGAGAGAAAGTGTCTCTCTTCCATTTTTCAACTTGTTATAGAAAACGTTAAGTAACGTGAGGTCCAGGGAAGATCCCTGCATAATATAACTTAATAGGATAACCAAAGTGGACACACGCCATGGTAAACAGATTTAGAATAGCAGCTAGCCCTTGTTTATTTTTAAATAATGGTGTTAAGGTTTGTGGTTTCTGTACCTGGGTAGACATCAGAATCACCTGGTATGCTTGTTAAAAATATAGATCAATCTTTACTCTCCACCTCTCTCACCCTCTGTCTCATCCCCACGTCTAGTAATCTGCTTCATTAAATCGGAGGTAAGGATTTGGAATCTGTATTTTTAATAGCATTGGGAATCACTGTCTAAGATGATTTATACTTGTATTCATAAGAAATTGACTTGATAATATAATAATAGTGAGTCTTCATTTTTTTCTAAATTGACATTGAAAACTATCTTATTTTAAAACAAGATCCAATCTCCCTAAACAGTCTTTTTTCCTGAGTCCTGATGAAGAGGGACTGGGAGAAAGGGTTAAAAAATCAGTCATTTTTAACTTGTTAGATTTACAGAAGCAGAATTTTCAACCTGGAAGAGAGACTAAAAACATACTCATATTTTTTTACTTTGCAGATACAGAAACGACTCTTTCAGTGTAATGAGGGGCTACAATGAGAAGTCACAGATCCACAGACATGATGACTTCCCAAAGCAAGACAGTTAGCTAGAAAAAAATTCTTGATTTCCGTCATGCTTCATGGTTGCTTCATTTCTTTAATAATCACCCAAATGGATTGGATCTATTTCTCATTTTATGGCATTTAAATACCCAGTGTATTGTTTTAAAAAAAACATGGGCATAGTAACTATATGCAGCATCCTTCTTATCAAATACCTCTTAGAAGCACATTTTGAGAATTAAATGGAATCTTACCTGTAAGAGGCACCTTGACATCAAGGCCATAGAATAAAGGCAAGAGAGAAGAACAAGAATAGAAACAGAAACTGCAGAAGAAAAAGAAGAAGATTATGTAAATCTGAATTTCTGTACTGCCATTCAGGTCGTACAAAACTTCAGCTTTTCCACTTTGCTCAAATCTGACCATTTCTCATATATACACCAAACACCTTTTATTTCAAAAAACCATACCTTTTATTTATCCACTGGTAAAGCAATGCAATGAATAACTGGTGTTCAACTAACATCGACTGATACATTTTAGAACTCTGAGAGGGTCTTAACAGGTCATCGGCCTAAGCTCCTAATTTTATAAGTAAGAAAAATAAGCACAGAGCAGTTAATCAATAGTCTAATTGCCTATAATCTGATGGTATAGTGAAGCCTAGAGGTTAGACCTTCCAAGTCCTACTCTATTACATGTTATTGTCTCTATTTTTAATGTGTGAGAGGGTAATTTAAATAATTAAAAATGATCAAAGTGTACACAATCACTCAGTGCTATCATTATTTGGTTAACGTGTTAGGTTTTAGGACTAAGGTATTAATCTGTAGGGTAAACATATGATCACTTATCCACAGTGGGGTGCTCCTCAGAGGGAAATGGAATTGTATTAGTAATTACATCAGGGCAACAGGTATAACCTGGGTCTGTCCTGGTTGAGTGAGGATATGTGGTCCTCCTACTGGTATGAACTATGCTTATTCATCAGAGGTAACTACACACAGTGAATGGATGCTGCCGCTCCAGACTGTCATGCTTTTGAGATAGATTTCTCCTTATTGGACTCATAGAAGTTAAATGGAGTCCGATATTTCTCTCTTCACCAAGAACCTTCACCAGAGAAGCAGATACTTGGATGGAAAACATGCTTGTGTAGCACTGGTAGAAAACCAACTGTATACTAATTATAAAATGTCATAGGTCAGATCAGTTTTTTCAAATACTGATTTCCTCGGTGATTTACAGAGTCATGAAGTCTTTTGCCTTGTTATCACACTTCAGGAGCCTTCTGTTGGTCATGACATTTTTGAATAGGGTCCTGTATGGCAGTCTCATATGGGGCATATTATTTGCATATTTCCTTTAATGCCATACTTATAAGGCTCTTGCTTCCCTGTGGCAAAATTGCATGAACAAGTTATAGACATGGTGTGAAGAGCCATGTATTAGTGACTGGTCTAGTACTATGAAAAGCAGAAACTCTGTCCTTTTTTTTTTTTCCATTCCTTGAAGATGGATAGTAATAGGATGGCACATGGAACAGGAGTGGATGGAGGAGAGGAATGGAAGGCTTCCACTATTCCCATGAGAAGGTCAGGTGTCAGAGCTACCTCTCTGGGCATGAGGGGACGCCCATCACTTGATTTACAATGAGAGTCTAAATTCCATGCTATGTGGTAGGCAGGCTGTGGCACTTAGGGTCAGATACCTGACCTCTGGTCTTGATTTGCCATAGACTGGTTATATGATTTGGGGAAAGTTGTTTAGTGTCTCTGAGCCTTTGTTTTATTATCTGTATAAAAGGGGAACATAATATCTGTGGTATGTTTCTCAGGATAATTATAATTAATAATAATAATTATTATCTATTATAATAATAATTATAATGAATGATGATAATTCATCATCAAATGAGATGATGAATGTGGAAGTGCCTTGGATGGTGAAGAGCGGCACGTGGGAAGCAATTTTGCTATGTTTCTTTTTATCACCTGATTTATACTCACTGTGTGCATGGGAATTAGGAACAAAGAAGGAATACTGTATGTACCCTGAGAAGGTGTTCAAGTACTCCAGGGGAAAGGATGAAGACTATCACTGACATAAGTGATCTTTAGCCTTTTTACTATGCTTGTGGATGAGTAGAATTGAGGTCAAGTGAATAGAAGGTACTTTATAAACCTCATCTGTCATTCTAACCTCTAATCAAAAACCAACTGGATTGTTTTTGAAGTGGCTTAGTTTAGTACTACATATGGAATATGCTGCTTTGATAGCTAAATAATCGTCATTTTCTGTTAAGTACATTAACCTAGTATCATAAATATTTAGGAAGTTCAGACCTGTAAAATGAAAAGTTCACACTTAATTTGGCTAGGGTGGTGACCTGACTAGATGTTAGAAAATTCCTTTATTTGTTTGTTTTTCCTCAGTTAAGTGGGGACTGAACTGAACGAAGTTTCTGGGGAAGAGCTGGCAGCTTCCTCCTTGAGCCACCCCAGGACTGTTTATGGATTAGCAGAGAGACTGACTAGGACCAAGGGTAGCCATTTAAATACGTGGAAAACGGAAGATAGCAGGTGTGTCCTTTGACAGCCAGGGAAACTGTGGACAACCCCTGCTTTCTATGGGTCTCTCTGCCAAACACTGGGAAATTAGATGCAGCTTTTCGTTTACTACACTCTTACCCTGAAGAACTAAATAGCACAGTTTGGAAAAGAGGAAAATTCAAATTTAAAATTTTGTATAAGATATGTAACTTTACATTTGGAAATTTAAAAAAATATACTTTAATTTGACTTATACTTTTTTAGTGTTTCCTAATTTTCATGTAAGTGGCCTCATTTTTTTCCTCATGGAACCCATGAGAGGAGGTGAGGGTGAGTGTTACCATCCCTATTGAATAGATATGGCTTAGACACAGTGGGTAAAGTCACTTACCCAAGCTCAAATAAGTACATGAAGACCGAGACTACAAAAGAATCTAGGTGGCTGATTGTTTGGCTACTGGACCCTACCAGTGGCCTTTGAGCTCACGTAAGGGCAACTATAAAAGCCATTTGGGATGAACCAAATTCTAATCACTATCTCAGAAATGGCAGGTGGTTTGCTATTTGCTTCTTGGGTGCCCATGAGATACTGCAAAACAACCATGCTTTTTCGCAACAGAGGGATTCAGGCTGCTACTTCCAGTCAATGAGACTGGAACTCCATAGAACACCTCTTGCCATCCCTGCTGTGTTCCTTGGCAGGGCGCCCCTGGCATCGTAGGCAGGATAATTCTTTGTTATGCAAGACTGTTGAACTCACTGCAGCTAAGGAGCATCCCTGCGCTAGCCCTCTCCCTTCTCCCAGAACACACACAATTCCAAATGCCCTCTTTACCTCACCTCCACCCCTGCCAAAAGTGTTGGCTGACTTGGAAGAAGCAGTTCCTCTCTCAGACCACTGGGGAAGTGACATGAGGTCATAGTTTTCATGTGTCAATCTAAATTTCTGAATGTATTATTGAGGTGAAATTGCAGCACAAGGAGGAAAGGGCTTTTTATGAATAATGGGAAAGACTTTTTAAAAAAGGGACTAAAAAGATTTTAAAAAGGAAGAGGAACGTAGAGTAACAAAACTCAGAAGAAACTTTTGGCAAAGAAGTGAAGATGGGAAAGGGAAAACTGAGGAAAGAAAACACTGATAGAAAAGGACAGGAATCGACACAAAAGGCAAAAATGTAACTGAAGGCAGAAGCTTTGCTAGAATCCTGGTGCCTGACTACAGGCAGAGTTTACGTTTACTGTAACTATACCTGCCTACACAAGATACACAATAGCTGAGAAGAAAGAAAACACGGTGAGTGAAAACAATATTATCGTCTGATCTAACAAATAAAGATTGAAATACATATTGAACTTCACATGTACCTTTTCTTCTAAGTCCTTTATCTGTCTTTTCTGGATGTCTGTTTTATCTTCTAAGTCACGAATTCTCTGAAAAAAAAAAGGGATGGGAAAAAGAAGCTTTTCAGTCTGTTAAACAAGAAGATCATTCACCAACCTAAAACACAGAACTTTCTATAAAAACATAACATCTGGAAATGTCACATATACGTTTTTCTATACCCAGTGGGTTATTGCATGTTTCAAAAATTACCCGTACTCACAGTGAAAATCATTGTCATTGATTATATTTTAAAAATATTTGCCATCCCTTTCTCTTCTGGGTCAATCTATCCCTGAAGACCCCTTCCCTGTGAGAGAGGCATGATTCTCACCCCACTGTCCTTGGGCTTGGTCAGGAGACCTGTTTTGGCCAGTGGAACGTGAGCGGGAGTGAGATGTGGGAAAGCCACATCCTTGTAGAGACAGCTGTATGTCCCAGAACTAGAGAGCAAGAAACAAATTTTGTTGTAAACCATTTGATTAAGGTTTTTGGTTGTTTATTACCTCACTAAAAAATAGCTAAAACTGGCTCACACGAATGCAACTAGCCCATCGGTTTCTGTTCTACCTTTTTTTTTTTTCCAACCTTATATCAAATCTGTTTCAGGGTGGAACTTCCTCACGAAACAGGACTGACCAATTTTCACAAAACAAGGTAGCGATTCCACCTCAAAAAAATTGAAAAGAAGGAACTGATAAACTAGGGGAAAAAACCCCCCAAACATAACAAGAATAACACAAGTAATCCTGAAGACAAAAAAGTTCCAGAACTGTCTTTGAAATTACCTGTAAACTATAACAAAATTCCAGTAATTTAAATAGCACAGATTTGAAATTGACATTACATAGACTAATTTATAAGTGAAAAGAGTCTTCAAATTTCCTTCTGGCAATCTAAAGGCCTTGTATGTTCATGGTACAGGGTTACACAGGGCAAGCTTGTAATTTAATGCCTCTTTTGGGAATAAATTAGAAAATGGAGAACTGGAGTCTAAGGAGAAAACAATGGAAGCTAAACAACGTGATAATATAGAAGGAGAGGTTTTACAATGCAATGTGCGGAGACAAAAGGGAAGCTAGAACAAAGAACAGTTGAACTTGGAAGTCATATCTTCCTCTCTCTAAAATGGTTCTCAACTGGGGGTGATTTTGCACCCCAGATGACATCTGGCAATGTCTGGACATTTAAAAAGTTAGTTAGTTAATTTATTTTAAAGTGTAATATTCAGTGGTTTTAGTATATTCACAAAGTTGTGCAACCATCACCACTATCTAATTTCTGGACAGTTTTGAATCACATGTGATCACTGGTCACAACTGGGGGAAGGGGTGCAACTAGCACCTAAGGGGTAGAGGCCAAAGATGCTGCTAAACATCCTGCAGTACACAGATCAGTCTCCACCCCCCCACCCCACCCCCATAAAGAATCATCAGGCCCAAAATGTCAGTAGTGCAGAGACTGGGAAATCCTGCTTTAAAGGAAAGAGGGTGAGGTTTGTGCAGGAGAGGAGGGTGTGTTTTGTCAGAAGGACCATGAAATTATGTGACAATGAATGCTGATGTGTGTGTCAGTGAATGATAAATGTGTGTGATGTGTGTGCTTGTATTTCCATAGTGCGGCTTATGCTCCAAAGCTACACAGTGAAAGAATAAATTTGCTAGCTATTTCTACCTTGAGTGTACAAGAACTTCCTTCTTATGTGTGCTGGATGTAGAGGCAAGCACTACACCAATACAATCATGAGATTACTATGGCATCTATGCAGCCACCAAGCCTGTGTTTGTTGGGCACCTTCTCACATGTTCAGGACTGTGCTGGATGTGATGGAGAATACAGGCAAGGCATCAATTAGTTCCTGATCTCAAAGAACTATCACATCCAGATGGGGAGAAAAAATGTAAAACACAGGGAAAAACAGATTAAGCAGAAAAGTAAACAATGGCGAAACTATGCACAACTTCATCGCCAACCTCTAACACCCAGTACAGTGTTTAGCACAAAGAAGCTGCGTATACATACTTATTCAATGAGTTAGGTAAGCTACACTGTGTGCTGCGGGCTTTATGTCTTTTTCCGTCCCATCTGCTTGCCAGCCTGCCATCCAGTCTCACAGTAAACTCTATGGAGTCCAAAATAGATCCCTTTTCTACGACTTTTTGTCTCTATTGCTACTAAGTACACCAAGTCCCCCATCATGACTGTGTGAGAGGTTACTGCCGGCTCTTCCTGCTTCTAATCTTGTGCATCCTACATCCACCTATAGTAGCCAGTGTGAACTCTTAGAATGTGAAATGATCACGGCAGTCCTTGAGTTTTAAGGGGGCGAGGAAGAGGGAGAGGGACAGTTAGCCAAGTTGCTCTCAGAATAAAACCCAAACTCCTTCAAGGCCCAGCATGACCTTGGCCTGTCTCACCTCTCCAGATTCATCTCATAACCACCTTCCCTTGGCTCCATGTGCCCCTGCCATACTGGCCTTCTCTCTGCTCCTTAAATATTCCAAACATTCCCATGATAGAGACTTAGCCCCTGCTGACCCTAACTTCTGGGACACCTCGCCAAAATCTTTGTGTGGCTGATTTCTTGGGATTTCGACATTTTCAGAGAGGCCTGCTCTGATCAGCCAGTTTAGAGTGGCTAATCCTACTCCCAAACTCACTCTCATTCTCTCCCTCTCCCTCCCTCCCTCCCTCTCTCTCTCTCTCACACACACACACATCTTCAGAGCACTTATTGCCACTCTCTGAAATTGCCCTGGCTATTGCTCATTTGCGCTGTCGCTATTTCCCTCTTCATCGGTAGGATACATGAGAACTGTGACCTTTATGTCTTTCTCCACCATCACACTCCCAGCACCCAGCACAAGCAGGCCCTCAATAAATGGTTCTGAATGAGTGTATGAAAAGGGTATGGAATGTCGATTTTTTCAGTAGTATGTAGTTCATTGTGTTCATCAGGGAGAGCATTCTGAAGAGCTGGATCTAAACTGAAAAGTGAGAAGATTTGGATAAGTGCAGCAGACTCTGAACGACATTTTGGGGTGAGCAGTCAGGAAAACAAAGGCTTGGAGGTGGGAAATCATGGCCTAAGGGGTACGGGAAGAGTTCTGCATGAGAGGAAGGTAAGCTATGAAGATTGTCTCAAATCTGGGTTTTAGGGGAGGAGTAGCCAGCTACTGAAGGACCTGGAGATAGCATGATTAGACTCAACTGGAAATTGGGATCATGGAGACTTTTGAGGAAGAATATGACATCAGAAAAGGGGAGAAGGAGAAGGAAGACCCCAGGGTTTTCAGCTTGAGTGCTTTGACATGTGGTAGTTCTACTAACCAAGACAGGCAGATGGGGAGAGAAGGGAGAAGTAAGGATAAGAATGTGTGTTTAGGTATGTTTCATTTGAGTTCACTCTAAAACATTCAAACAGAAATGTCTAATAAGTGGTTAGTGATATGCTCTAGAATTTAGACTGCATTATAAACTTATATATGACAAATCCTGGCCAGTGCTTTCTGGAATAATTCTCTCAAATCAAAGCTACTGATTGAAAGGAAAGTAAGAAATAACTGGAAAGGCATATTCTAATGAACATCTGGTTGGGAGACAGAAAATGCCAATAAAACTCTCTGAGGCTTAGAAATATAATGTACTTAACAGTTCAGGCTGGGTAACTTAAAACAAAACAAACAGAACCATCTCTTTTGGGAGTGAAGTACCTTAGCTGACTGAAGAGACACAAAAGCATTGACAAGGCTTTAATCATAAAAAAATTTAGATAACTATTTGTCCATCTTAAAAATAAACACTTCTGCGGTTCTATGACACACCTCCTTCTTTGCTGAAATTAATTAAATGCTATTGCAGCCTGAGAAATTTATGCAGAGGACATGTTCATTCCCTTATAGAAGGAAAGAATGCCTGCATTAATGCAATGATACTGCACAGTCTATTATTGAAAGCTTTAAAACTCTCTTCAGAGTCAAAATCCAAACTTTATGATGGAATCTCAAGAACCAGTGAAACAAACATGTATGTGTTTATCATCTCTGGGACAAAATGGCTTCAGAGTTCCGTGTTAACTTGGGTAATTTGTTAGCCTGTAAAGATCCACAAAAAATAACCCCTGTTCCTTTTCTACTCACCTTGATCTCTAATGACCACATGACTCTTACCTCCCGTAGAGCCCATCTGGATTTCGTACCAGTTGCTTATTTCAGCTTATGAGTACCGAATACCCTAGCCTGGAACTTTCAATTCTGGAATTATTTCAGAATCTGCTTTTTGACCAGGACCCTAGTCTTTGCCTGGCAATCTGTGACATGAACAAATAGTTGGAATTAAGAATTTTGGCTATAAGTTAATATTGGGTGTTTATTTTGAGCCTTGCCGGTCTAGATAAATCATATAAATTATAGATGATTCAAGCTGTAGAAGACAGCATAGTGCAATGTTTATGTGCACTGGCCTTGGAGTTAGGCCGATCTGGGCTGTAATTCTGGCTCTGTTGCTTACTATCTGTCATCTTGGGCCAATCACCTAAGCACTCTTTTCTTCAGTATCATGATCTCTTAAGCTGGGATAATAAGAATACTTACAGGAGTGGGCTATTGCCAAGAATAAATGAAACAATGGAAGTAGAGCCCTTAGTTTAGTTCCTGACCTATAGCACATGCCAGTAAGTGAGAAGCAGCTTCCATGCTTTGTTGCTGTTGCTGTTTATTCTGGGAATAAAGAGAAAGGTCCTTGTTCCCTTTTACCCTCTTCGGATTATTTGATCAGGCTAGGTTATGGACTGGGATGAGTAACAGTGGGGAAGCATTATCTGTGTCCTGGACTGAGTCCCAGAGAGTCCCTTCCCAGCATAAGGGACATAATCAGGCTCCATGAGATTCAAGGGGTGTTTCAGGACAAAGTAGTCGCAAAAACAGTAGCATGACACAGTGCTTCTGAAGTGCCAATTCTCTTCAGATTAGTTCATTATAAAACCGTGGTCCTGTTTCTGAGTGTAGGTGGAAAACAACAGCTATTTATTTTACTCTTTGAAAATAGCTTCTAGCTCCCAGGCTTCTCCATACTCATACCCAACACTATGTACTGAGCACTTGGTCCCATTTTCTTAGTACCACCCATGTAGTGACTACATCCTCACCTGATGGGCTTGCTGTAAGAGCTCCATTCTCTCCTGTAGAATCTGACAGTCGTACTCTCTGCTCTTCCTCAGCATCTGCCGCCGTAACTTTTCCACTGCTGTCCTCAGCTCCTCTTGCTGTTTTTCAGTTAACAATTCACCAAACTTGATAACAGTTTCTTGCTGCAGAGCATTGTACAAAGTCGCTTCTAGTTCCTGGATTCTCTGGCAAATAGAATTAGAAAACCTTGGAATTTAGTATCTTACGTGTGGTGTGTGAATGTACACATGTGTGTACATGTGGAGGGATGTATTATTTTAGTCTCACAGGATCCTAGCAACAAAATAAATTTCAAAGCTTATCCAGCTTAGGGACTATCCTGATGGTGCAGTGGTTAAGAATCTGTCTGTCAGTGCAGGGGACAAGGGTTTGATCCCTGGTCTGGGAAGATCCCACATGCCGAAGAGCAACTAAGCCCGTGCACCACAGCTACTGAGCCTGCGCTCTGGAGCCTGCGCACCACAACTAATGACCCCGTGCACCACAACTACTGAAGCCCGCACTCCCAGAGCCTGTGCTCCGCAACAGGAGAAGCCACTGCCATGAGAAGCCCACACACTGGGACTTCCCTGGTGGCGCAGTGGTTAAGAATCTGCCTGCCAGTGCAGGGGACATGGGTTCGAGCACTGGTCCGGGAAGGTCCCACATGCCACTGAGCAACTAAGCCCATGCGCCACATCTACTGAGCCTGTGCTCTAGAGCCCACGAGCCACAACTACTGAGCCCGTGTGCCACAACTACTGAAGCCTGCTTGCCTAGAGCCTGTGCTCCACAACAAGAGAAGCCACCGCAATGAGAAGCCCGCACACCGCAACGAAGAATAGCCCCCGCTCGCCACAACTAGAGAAAGCCCGCACGCAGCAATGTAGACCCAACACAGCCAAAAATAAGTAAATAAAATAAATAAATTTATATATAAGAAAAAGAAGCCTGTGCACCGCAACGAAGAGTAGCCCCCCACTCGCCACAACTAGAGAAAGACCGCGTGCAGCAATGAAGACCCAACTCAGCCAAAAATAAATAATTAAAAAAAAAAAAAAGCTTCTCCAGCTTAAATATCCTTTTGATGATCCCCTTTATAAGATGCCATAAGGATCATCTAGCCAATACGTGAACTACTCCGATGATGGTGAGTTTGTTCTTTTTCTTGGGATCCTGTCCATGTCACATACTTTTCATTTTTAACAAGTCTTTACTTTGTTATAATAACTGTATATCCTTCTATTCTCAAATGTGGCTGAAAATAAGTTTGTTCTCTCTTTCATTTGACAGATATTAAAAGACATCTATTGTGGTGGCCATATTTTTATAAATAAGCATTGAAAAGTGGTCCAAGTTGGAGTAAAATACTTGAAATTGGAGGTATTTCACACACACAATGCCACCTCTCTTCCACATGACACACCTCTGAAGATGGCTTTATAGTCTCCATTTTTTTCTTATAAAAATAACAATTGAGAAATATAGCCTGGAGTCTTTGGAGTTGGTCTGTTTTTTAATACTCTGAGATTTATAGTTGCTCTAGCTATAAAATGCTTCCTTGAGGCTTTTCTGTTTTAGATGAAGAGTCTACTGCTTCTTATATCCCAGTCTTCTTTTCTTTCACATGCTTCAGATACAGTTACCAAAATCTATCATCTTATCCCCTGTGACTCTGACATAGGTGAAAGGACATGCCCTGGTGAGGGATGTTCTCCAAGCTCCTGTCCTGGACTAAGCAGGTCTCATCTCTTAAAAGTTAAATATATTAATAATTATCTGAATGAGTCTCCAGTCCTGGAACACACACACATGCAGTTTAATCTTACCGTGTGTAGGTAGAGAAGGCAAGGCTAAAAGGATAGGAAGGGAGGGAAAAATTACCTCCTTCTTTATTCTCTAATCAGCGGCCAATACTCATCCTCTCCTTTCCCCATCAGTCAGTGCTCAGAATCTCTTATTCATCTTGGGTGGGGAGTACTAATTCATCTTTGATATAAGCAGGGGCTAAGTGCTTCACTCTTTTCCCAAAAGTGACTCAGGCTGCTTCCAGGAAAGCATTATAAAAACCTCTACTAGCAACTCCTCGAAATGTTCCTCTTTTTCTCTTGAGTCATTACAGTGTATTATGGTGGGGGGCAGAGTGGTGTCCACATGGAGAGAAGAAGTGCAAGCTGTAGTCCAATGTTAGGAATGATGCTTTAAGAATTTGGTTCAGGGGAGTGGATCAAATGTGCTCCTCCGTCAGCACAATCTTCTGGAGGAGAGAAAAAGGCACAGCCCATTTCCCCATATATTTTTTTTTTAATTTTTAAATTTTATTTATTTTTTTATACAGCAGGTTCTTATTAGTTATCCATTTTATACATACCCATATATTCTTACTGTGGCTGGATGACGGTAGTTAAGGCCACAATGTCTGGAGTCAGATCTAAACACTACCTACTTGTGTACCAAGCTGGGCCAAGTTCTTTCTCTCTCTAAGCCTTCATTTTCTCATATGTAATATATAAATAATAATATTCCCTATACCTCTTAGGGTTGTTGTCAGAAATAAATGAATTAAAAATATGTATCACATTAAATACATCATTATTCTATCCCTAGATTAGGCTCCCCAACAATCAGATTTGATTTAATAAAATTTCTCTTTAATCTACATTGCCATCCAATCTGTTGTTCATTTAAATATTATTTAACAACACAATTCAATTTTTAAAAAAATCAAGTATAATGAAATATTTATTAACTATTATAAGAGTATTGTAACAGCAAAGAACTAGAGATATATTTGTTCTAGAATGAGAACTGGAAACCTCTGAATAAATGAGCTGCACGTTGTGGTCTATTCAAATACATGACATGACAAATTACACAGGATGCTTTACTCCAGAGCATGTAATCGTAAACACTCGGAGTGTCTCCAATGCTTGTTGTACCTACCATATATGCTTGGTCGAGAGCTTGTTTCCTGTAGTCTAGTTCTTCTTCCAGATAGCCTTTGATTTTGCAGAATTGTTCCTAGAAAAAAGGGCGACATTAATAGATAGAGTCAGCTTAGTTAATGAGAAAGTGATATATAAATTGTATTGATTAGCGTTTTCTCTAATTCCACTGTAAGACAAATCACTAGTATTTGTAGGGTCACAGATTTTGTCTTTTAGGGAAATAGTTCAACTTTTATAGTTTCACACAGGGAATGTACAAATCAATGGAAAGAAGAAAAAATATATAACAAACAATCCACATGGAATGTCTTAAAGGATTTTTTATACCAATTTAAGAGTATGTCATTAAGGATAGATTTTTGTTTGTTGGTTGGTTGGTTGGTTTTTTGGCCTCACTGCACGACATGTGTGATCTTAGTTCCCCGACCAGGGATCGAACACATGCCCCCTGCTGTGGAAGCACGGAGTCTTAACCACTGGACCACCAGGTAAGTCCCTAAGGGTAGACTTCTGACAAGATAAATGCTATAGATGCTAATAAATATATCTGTGTAAATATACTGGGATAGTATATTTTTGTAAGAATGTTATGAAATATAATAGAGCAAAGTTGTATAATAAAAATTTATTCAAACTTATCTGTGTATCATTAGCAAACACAAAGACAGAGAGTGGGCATAAAGTTAACCACACATATTGCTCCATCCACATACCAACTAACTGACCAATTTATCCATCTGCCTGTCTCACTAAGACTTATGAAGGGGTGGTGGAGGCAGGGGGTTGGGGGTGGGCATCTGCTTTAAGAAGAGTCATGGGGGACTTCCCTGGTGGTCCAGTGGTTAGGACTCTGTGCTCTCACTGCAGGGGGCATGGGTTTGATCCCTGGTCAGGGAACTTGGACCCTGGTGTGTCCTAAATAAATAATTTAGGATGGCAAATTGCATGCTGTATGTTTTTTACCACAATTTAAACTAAATTTTATTTTAAAAAGAAAGAAAAAAATAAAAGAGAGTGGAGGCAATTCCACCCACAGTGCCACTTAATGAGTGAGTGTCTGCTCTTGCTGCAAAGCCAGAGTGAGCTGGGAAATGTAAATCTGATGTTCCCTTGCTTGTCCTCAGGTTTTGTGTGGCTCTCATATTGTAAGCATCTTGCCATTGGCATTAAAAAATGTATCTTTGTATAAAACATAGCTCCAAGCACAAGTCCATTCTTTCTCTGTATGCTTAACAAGGAACAAGGGCCTCGTCCAACACTGAAGGTAAACTTGATTGCATCAACTTTTGAGAGAGGATATGTCTGCATGCGATTTTGCTAGTGACTTTCCTAATTACCTCTGAGCTCCAGTGCCTAGAACAGTGTAACAAGCTGATTGCTTAATTAATGTTTGTGCATTTAAAGAGTTCAAGCGTATTTTGAATATAAACAGTTCTTGTTATATGTTTTGACTTTACAGACCAACCTGTTGGTAAAATACAAGTCCCGTGTAAAATATGAGCTAATGATTTGTAAGCTGTCACATGCTATGTAAATTCAACTTGTTGTTCTTACGATAGGATTCCCTAACCTGATAGGAATCACTACCTGACTTTTAGTAATAATGATAACAGTAATGACCGTACTGTTATAAAAGTCTATGTATTGCTGTAAGTTAAAAATGACCAATTCCCAGGCCTGGGGATTTAAAAAAAAAGCTAATAGTGGCAAACTACACACAACGTAAAATTTATAATCGTAACCACTTTTAAGTAGTGTTAAGTATATTCACAGATAAGAAAGTTTCACAGAAACAAGTTTCACAGAAACTTTCTTATCTTCAGTAGTGTTAAGTATATTCAGTGTTATGAGACCAATCTCCAGAACTCTTTTCATCTTGCAAAACTGAAACTCTGTACCTGTTAAACAGTAACTCCCCATTTCCTCCTCTTAGCTCCTGAGAACCAGCATTTTGCTTTCTGTTTCTATGAGTACGACTACTGTAGGTCCCTATATTAGTAGAATCACACAGTATTTGTCTTTTCGTGACTCGCTTATTTCATTTAGCATAATGTCCTCAAAGTTCATCCATGTCATAGCATGTGTCATAATGTCCTTACTCTTTAGAGACTGAATAATATTCCATAGATGGATATACCACATTTTGCTTATCCATTGACAGACACTTGGGTTGCTTCCATGTTTAAGCTATAGAGAATAATGCTGCTTTGAACACAGGTGTACAAATCTCTCTTCAAGAGTCCGCTTTCAGTTATTTTGGGTGTACTCCCAGAAGTGGTGTTGCTGTATCATATGGAAATTCTATTTTGAATTTTTTGAGCAACCACTAACCATATGGTTTTCCATAGCAGCTGCACCATTTTACATTCCCACCAACACTGCACAGCGTTCCAGTTTCTCCACATCTTCACCATCACTTGTTATTTTCTGATTTTTGTTGGGTTTTTTTTTATAGTAGCCATCTTAATGGGAGTGAGGTGGCTTGGGGATTTTTAATACCCATCATTTCTGTCAATTTGGTGGAAAAATTATTTAGCCTAAGAAAGAAAACACCTAACTGGATTTTCTTCAACATTAGTTCTGGAAATACTACAAAATTACAACATGATATTTCTGGAGGCTATAACTTGAAATTGTGGGGTACTTCTGGGCATTCTGTCTCACAGTCTATACACAAAATAATGGCAAGGCTACAAACTTCCATCCGTGTCAGATAAAACTGCTAGAAAACAGTTGTGTTCCATTTGTCTTGTCAATTTTTCTTTTGTTTTCTGACATCTCATTTTTACTCACCATGTCACTTTCCAATTCCATCATTTTCTGATGCAGGGCAGCCTCTGCTCCTTCAATTTGCTGGATCCACTGAGGGGTAAACCAGACACAAGTGTGTGACATGATTGCTTGACATGGTGTAAATGGTGGTGCCTCCTGAGCTGCTTAGTCTCTTCCCCTTACATCTCAGGAAGCAGACTAAGAATTGGAGTGAAAACTTGGTACATTTTAACTCTTAGCTCAGAAACAAGTTTATAAATTTCCACTCATTCATTCATTCTTCATTCAACGAAAGCCTTCCTTGATATCTACCATGTGTGAGGCAATGTGCTGGGTACTAGGGCTGTGATGGTGAATAAGACCAACACATGTTTTGCCCTCATTGGAGGACACCATGGGAGGCTTTCTTGGAAATGACAATTGCACTGGGTGTAAGGAATGAGTCAGAGATGACTAAGCAAAGGTGAGGGGCAAGTTCCAGGCAGAAGGTATGTCTAATTCTCCATGGTTGGAGGGAGCATGATGAAAGAAAGAAGGCCAGGTGAGACTGGGGAAATGGCATTTATTTCAGTATATGACACTGATTACAGCTAAATGTTGAGGAATCATTTTTGTTGAGTGGAGACAAATTTTAAATCACACAGAAAGAACTTATCTTTCCTAACACTTAGAATATATCATTCTGTTAGATGGTGTTGATATTAGCACAGATCAATACCCTGAATGAATTTAGACTTTGAATAATATAGTGTGAGCCTACCACATATATGGTTTCAGAGAATAAATTGTTATAATGGGTCTCCATCAAGTTAACCATAAGCTTATCCCTCAGGGAGGCAATTGGGCAAAAAATTAAGTGTGTGGGTCCTAGAGGCCAACTACCTTGGGTCTAATCCCAATCCTAGCTTTTCATGGCTATGTGGCCTTGAAATGTTACCTGGTTTCTCTAAGCCTCAACTTTCTTATCTGTGAAATGGGATTAATAATAATGTGAAGATTAAAGGATGTAATTAACCTAAGGTCCTACTGACAGTGTACTGCACATACTAGGTAACCAATACATTCTTGGTTTTGGTTAACATTCATTTTTGTACTTCCACACTGTTAGGAATTTGCCTCACTACCAACTATTGCTTCTTAGTTTGTTTGTGATAAATTATGTAGTGTACTGAGCATTTTTCTATATACTGAAGCCTTGGTATTCACAAGGGGCCACCATATCCAACAGCCCCTCGGCTGTAAGGAACATGAGGAAAGAAAAAAGGCCGTGGAGACTGGAGAGGTGCTAATCTCTCAGCTCTTGTACATACACATGGCTTCCCTCATGAAACAAATTTCAGTCCAAAGTCATGGGTTTCTTGTAAACACCCTCATATTGCAATTGTGTACCATCAAGGTTTATTAAAATGCTTCCTCTTGCTTGCTGCCCATTTACCATTGAGAAACAAATTCTCTTGTGTACCATGTTTTGTTTTTTTTTTTTAAATATTTACTTATTTGGTTGCGCTGGGTCTTAGTTGCAGCAGGCGGGCTTCTTACTTGTGGCTCGTGGGCTCCTTAGTTGCGGCATGCGTGTGGGATCTAGTTCCCTGACCAGGGATCGAACCCTGGCCCCCTGCATTGGGAATGCGGGGTCTTAACCACCGTGCTACCAGGGAAATCCCACACTATGTTTTTAAGAGAACCGCGAAGTGAAGTAGTCCGGTCATGGGCTTTAGCTATAGATTTGTATGTTGGCTCCCGACTCTGACTACATGGATGATGCAGGATGAGGAATGAATAGCCCAGGCCACAGTTTTCTCCCAGATAAAGTGAAAATAGTAGATGAATGTAGGGTGGTTGTAGGGAGCAATGAGATAATGCACAGACAGTATTTAGCATAGTCCCTGGCCCGTAACATGTCCTCACATAAGGTCACTGCTCTTATTATTTTTAATACGAAGTCACAATAGGATTTCCTTGTTGGAAATTTGTCTAGGCTCAACCTCTGGCTAAAGGTCACACTCTCAGATGGTAGAGAGATAATTCAAATGTGTGGTCTCAGGAAGTTCAAGATGATATTTATAATTACTTGGAGGTAGAAATGTTTATCTGTGAATCCCAAACATGGGGGGAGGCGGTGATTTTAGCTTATGAATTGCAAAGATTTGCACAAAAGGCAATTGCACAGACCATGAGCATTTTAAGGACAAGCTTGTGTCTTATTCAGCTGATTCCTCACTTTCAATCACAGTGCTAAGCACACAGGCATCACCCTTTGATTGTTTAATCTGAACCCCTCACACCTGTTTTGCAAAGGAGGTAAGTGGAGGCACGAGCTAATACGTCAAAGCTTTACTAGAACAGTTCCTACGTGCTATAGGGTACTTTCTGCTTTTAGTAGGAAGCTTGAGGGAAAGCTTGCAATAAAGAATCATAGCCCTTCATGACTCCAACTGGATGAGATGCTCTGGTGTGAAAAACTAGGAAAACAAAGAGTGAAAAACAGATTCCAGAGTTGCCCTCGTGGAGCGTAGAGTCTAGTGAACTACAGAAAAAAAAAAAAAAAAAGTGTGGTTGTATTACAGTTGCTAAAAGCCATGGTAGCAGAAGCACAGGTCACTGTGGGAACACAGAGTGAGAAGACCTAACTGGGCTTGGGTGAATAGGAAGGCTTCCCCATGTATGGGAGGGTCTAATGATTAAGATTTAGCCAGACAAAGGTAGAAAGGGAAGAAGAGAAAATCTAGACAAAAGGAACAGTGTAAAGGACCAAGGGATGAAAATATGTAGAAGTAGATAGAGACAGAGACAGAGATAGAGTGATAGAGAGACAGAGAGCGAGAGGAGAGAGAAGAGAGGAGAGAGGAGACTGGAGCCCCAAAAGGATTTGTGCATGGCTGGACCTTGGTTGGTGACCAAGGAAGGAAGTGGGGTGCTGGAGAAATAAGTAAGGGCCAGTTCCAAGGGGGCCCTCTTGCCAAATTCTGGATTCTAGACCTATGTTAGGGACAATGTGGTGCTATTAATTTGATCACAAGAGGAAAGGGAAAGTGATAAGGTCTGTTATTAAATTGTGAAGGGTGGAAGTTTTTAAAAGAGCAAATCCCAGATATTTCACATGAAATACTTCAGTATGTGTCCCTAACACTTAAGGTCTTTTAAGAAATAACATAACCACAAGGCCATTTCCACACTTTGCAAAATTAATATTAATTCCTTTTGTCATCTGATACCTGGTCCATATTAAAATTTCCCCAGTTGTCAGCAAAATGTCCTTGGTTTCACACTTGGTTTGCTTGAATCAGGATGCAAAAAAGGACCATTTCAATATTTAAGTAACTTTTTATTTCATAGCAATTCTTCCCTCTCCCTCTGCCATTTGTTTAAATGTCATTGTTTTGTTTGAGTACTTAACTGGGTCATTTGACCAGTAGAATTCCCTCATTTCAGACTGGAGCAAGGTGAATGCTTGCTCATGGTTTCATTTAATTTACAACATGCTTTTTTATGCATTTAGAAATTAAGAAAGCATCTCAAGGAACTTATAGTACATAAGTTCTTACTTTATCCAGCCATGTACACATGACTGTCAACTATGTGATGATTCTCAAGGTGCCCTGAATACAGCCAGTTACCAGGTTTCTTCACTTGGCTCTTTCCTTTTTTCTCTCTCTTGCATTTACCAGGTTTAGACACAAGGGGGTGAGAGAACGCGCAGTGTTGCTCTTCTCACAGTCCCCAGGTTGGGCTTTCTAAATGAAGGTGCAGGGAGCCACCACCAAGTTACAGAATCAGTTGGAATAACTGGTAGGTACACATCCAAGGAAAAGCCCACAGAAAGAGCCATGCTCCAATTTACCACTTAACAAAACCCTTCTTTATTGGTTTCCCAGCTTGGTAAGGATGGCTTAAGTAATGTAATCCAGGTTTTGCATTTTTACAGAATTATATTTTTAAGAGACTTCAAAGCAAGAATTATCCACCCACCCTAAATCAGTGTGTAGACTCTTCTTTTGTGTGTTCTCATTCTATCTGGGTTATATCACCCTGAAGAATAAAATATTTATTAGGTATTCAATAATGCAAAATCATGTGCAAAGAGATTGTCCTTCAGCCCCAAGTGTTAAGCCAGACACTGAGATGATTTGAATGTTAGTATGATTTATTACCTTTTCTGCCAGGGACAGCACAGTGCTGGCCTGAATTATAGCCACTTGCTCTTCATTTCTTAAATTCTGTGGCGGGGGTTGAAGGGGTGGGGAGAAAGAAAATAAGCTGAAAACACTTTTTGACATTTATACTATCAGAAGATACTGCCTAACTTGCCTGCCACATACGCATGCATAGAACATTCACAAACGGCCTATTCTATTTAGTAATAATTCCTAACAAAGAGTTCATTCAAAACCTGTAAAAAGTACATTAAATGTGATGGTTTTATATCTCTAGTGCTGACTTGATTTTGTTTCACTGTAAGCATACTGCATGAATAGTCATAAGAAAAGCAGAAACCAAAATGAAATAAAGATAGTGGGAAGCAGCCACACAGCACAGGGAGATCAGCTCAGTGCTTTGCCACCACCTAGAGGGGTGGGATAGGGAGGGTGGGAGGGAGACGCAAGAGGGAGGAGATATGGGGATCTATGTATATGTATAGCTGATTCACTTTGTTATACAGCAGAAACTAACACACCATTGTAAAGCAATTGTACTCTGATAAAGATATTAAAGAAATGAAATAAAGAGTAATCTCTTCATAGCAGTTTGATGTGATTTAATCGATTTTGTTCTCTCCTTTGGTAATTTTTCAAGGGAAATAAATAGTGTGACTACTTCACCCTACATACATCATTCATCTAGTATCTCAATGAATGGTCCTCCCACTGAATTAATATGCCTTGACCCTGTCTGGAAGGGGTTTTTAGAAAGAAAAGAGATTATAGTTTCCTAGTGCATTTTTATGGGGCTGCCACCAACCCTACTGTTTAGCAGCATTTGCAACTGCATGACTGATTAATTTCACCCCCTATGCCTCCCAGCAACAGTCAGAAGGTAATTAGCTTTAACCAGCGCACACTCCATTGGCATTCAAACCTGAAACCTGCGCATGAAAAGCACCTTACCAGTTCCCACTTCTGCCACTACCTTCCAGAGATCCTTACAATCCCTTAGCTGAGTGGTTTGATAGATTGCTGATTCTTTTCCAGAAGCCGCATGCTTAAGTGAACCTGCTGTCTCACTTGCTATTATTTTTTTGTTTTTTTCTATTTATTTATTTAATTCAAGTATAGTTGATTTACAATGCTGTGTTAGTTTCAGGTGTACAGCACAGTGCTTTAGTTATACACATATATATGTATAACTACATATATACATGTATATATATGTGCATAGCTACATTTTCAGATTCTTTTCCCTTATAGGTTATTACAAAATACTGAGTATAGTTCCCTTCACTTGCTACTGTTTTACACGTAATGCATTGGCAAGTATTTCTTGCTTCTCTTTAGGCAAATGCATATCTTTACTGTACTTAATCAATTCATGACTTACCCCGTTATCACCCAAGATATCAAGCTGCTTTATGAGATCAGGGATGTTCACATCCTGCAAAATCAAGGAGATTCATTCAAGTCGTGGCTTACCATTCTATCAGTGCCTGCCTGAACCTTGAGTTAGAGAGGACATTTTGAGACCTGCTCTTCCTTGGTTTGTTTTCCATCAGGCGCAGCTGGTTTTACATTTCCACTTTGCTTCCTATAAGCTGTGTGAACCTGGGAAAACTACTTAACAGTGCATTTTCAATTTTGCCAACTGCAAAATAAATACTTTCTTCATAGGCTGATTTGAGGATAAAGAGATTGTACATGAAAGCATCTAGGATGTACTAAGGACTCAGGATTTGCTCAGTAACTTTTTTTCTTATAATTGTTGAAAATTGTTTCAACTGTGGTAGATTTCAAGTATTAAGAAAAGTAACAGGAAAGAAATTTAAATAACCAACCAATTTCATTCTAATTAATGGAATTCTGACCTGGTTGAGATTTTGACTGCCACATAGAAAACTACAGAGCAGTTCTATTTTTTAGGTGTTTAGCATTAATTCCATCCTATGGAAAACAGCTGATTTTTATTATAGTCCCTGAGTCAATTTGAAGCAGCTGAACTCCATTTAAAAGAGTTCCCTTGTATATAAACTACATGCACTGATTAGGTTGTTTGTGATTTATCTAAAAACAAAACGTCTAAGGAAAAGACAAAGTAAAGTGCTTCTCATTGAATTAGAGTTGAATCAAAAAATTGCTTTGGTTTACAAATTTTCAGGCAGCCCAGGAAGGCCAGAAGTTTAAACAACATGAGAGTGGTTTAAGACAGAAGTCAAAGAAGCACAATTTTCGACCTAATTTCCCCCGCATTAGTACCACTTTCTCCTTTTACTCAGGTTCAGTTAACAGTTTAGCAGATCCCTACTGCCAGATATACAGAAGTCTAGCTCAATCTCAGAGGTAGAGAGAAAGCAACTAAAGCAGGTATATTTGGCAGCTCAGAGTGGGAACAGGAAGGGCCATGCAGAAGGTAAGGAGAGGCCAGAAACAGCGGGAGGCTTCCTAGCCTTACCTCTGGAATAGTCAGTCACTATGTGATTCTGTTACATTGAAGGACAATATATTTTCCAGGAGATGGAGCCACCTCCACTCGACCTTAATATTTAAAATGTATTCCAACATCACTAAAGATGAAATTATATTTTGTCTAAGTGAGCAACATGTTATAATCCCCAAGGCCTTCCAAAAGTGAAATCCTCCCTAAAACACCCATATCAAAAAAGATGGTGGGCAAGATGATTTCAAGCTTTCTTTTAATACTGAAATTCCAAGATGATGAATTCCATAGCAATTAGAACAGCACAACAAAGGGACTCAACAAATACCTTTTTATCTGGCATCCTTGAGATATGTTTCTTAAAATATTGAATTTATTTAATATTTCTTCCAGATAATCAAGGGTAATTATCTTAATATTTTGATTCTGTATCAATCTTTAGGTTACTGTTCTAAATAATCATGGCTTCCTAGTTTTTTGTTTTTGTTTTTTTTTGCTGTTACCATTCATACATCTGTCACACATTTATTTTGTGTATGTTCTGTCGATTTTCCCATAGATGTGACTATTTTCAGTTCCTACATAGTTTGTATCAAAATGACAACCAGTGACCGAAAGACAAAACAGTCACAAACAACCTCCCCTTTTCCAATTCCCAGTTTTTCTACTGTCTACAACATACACAGGGAAACATCTGCCTACCTTGACACCTTCTTTCATACAGTAGATCTGTAGAGCACTCACACCATCTGAGAAGGGGTGAATTTGCAGATTAAATGGAGGGGATCGTCTCTCTCTTTCCTTGAAATACAGTGAAGAATATGTGGGAATTAAAAAAAAAGCAACAACTGATTAATCACTAAACCAGTTGTCTGTGGCCTCTATGCTATTTCAGCAGCTTATCAATATGCCATTTGGCAAAAAAAAAAAAAAAAATCGAACTCAAGATCTTCATGCTTGAATTTAATGGAAAAGAACTGATAAGTCAACTAAGAGATGTGGGAGAAGAATTTAACATGGTGTCATCCAGTTTTGCAAATTTTTTTTTTTTTTTTTGCGATATGCGGGCCTCTCACTGCTGTGTCCTCTCCCACAGCGGAGCACAGGCTCCGGACGCGCAGGCGCAGCGGCCATGGCTCATGGGCCCAGCCACTCCGCGGCCAGTTTTGCAAATTTTTGGATCAAGGAAATGTGGGAAGTGGAGTTCCATTTTAAACTACATGAATATTTAGAGCTTTCAGGTATCACAAAGAATGTTCTTCTGACCATGAAGTTTTATGGCAGCTCATGGTCTTTTGCATATTCAATCCACTCAAGCTTTATTAGTAAGATTTGTGGGCTACCAAAGATGACTTAACTCTTCTTCACTGAAGCATACCAACTACTAACTTTATCCAAACCTAATGTAAAATAACCTCAAGAAGAAATTGTTGGTGAAATAACAAAGAAATCAAATGGGAAAGTTTCTTATCCTTTACATATCATGCACATTCAACCAGACCCTACGCCGGATTCTGCATGATACAATCAAAATCTGATTTGATTGATATGTTTTACTTAAAAACAAAGACTCTGAAACTTGGTCAAGTTAAACAAATTATTTCCTAAAACAAATTACCTTGCTTCTTAGCCTTTTGCATAATGCATTACAGAATAAAAAGTTTACTTACAGATTCAAGGGTCTACCAATAAAATATTTGTGTATATAGTACATTTTAAAATATAATTCTTGAAGTAATATTTTCCTGAGTCAGAATTCAATGAAGGATGGAAATGATTATTTAAAATCAATGAAATATTGATAAAGTTTGAAATATATTATTCAAATTATTTTAAAATTATTCATTAGCCTTGTTCATAAAGGCAACAGTGTTGTAAAGTACAGTATCTGAACAGACAATTCTGAGTTGCATCAGTGCTTCACCACGTACTAGTCACAGGACTTGGGCAAGTTATTTAACCTCAGTTGCCTCATCTATCAAATCTTGGTTGTGGGAGGTCCAACGAGAGTATGTATCTGAAATGCATAAGCTAGTACCTCACACAAAGAATGGGTTCAGTGCATGTTAATATTTTTATTATCATTATCATCATTTCCTTACTTCTAGCTCTAGATTTCGAAACTCCAGCAGCTCATTCTGGTCTCTGGCATCCTGCAGTTCCTGTTGGAGCCGGTGATTTTCTGCCTCTTGTTTTTCTATCTGATAAAGTAAATCCTCAAGTTAGGTGGACATTGCGAAAAGCATCTACAACTTTGCAAAGCAAGCATGGACAGCATTCATTTACACGGTGAATAAATCGTCTAGACCATGAAAAAAGTCCCAAGTAGATGTGAATAAAATAAATCTTTGGTTTTCCCTCTATTTATCCTTTGGTTGAGTTTTTCGGGTCATAGAAGAAAATACTGGAGGATGCCTCCATTCATTGAGATAAAGTCTAGGGACCCTATGAATAGTGAATCTGTCCCTTGCTGTCTGGGACAGTGTCCAAGAACTAGATTTAATGGTGCAAATAATGGAGACTGACACCTCTTATTTCTGGAGTTACAAGTTGTTGAAGAAATATTTTTTTAAAACAGCTCTGATCCTACACAAAAGTTTGTTGAATTCCAGTTACGTGCAAAATAAAGCTGAAGTCCTCAGTGGAATTCAAAAACCTTAAGAATCTGCTCACCAGATTTAGGTGTTATCACTGTCATGTCTACACACACACACACACACACACACACACTCACATGTGATCACATACACTTGAATCTAGAAACCCAGATCTACCCTATGTTCTGGTTATTCCAGGAGCTCTGTCTGTGCTCACCTCTGCCTGAAAAGGGCTCCCCCACTCCCTTTTCTACATGAGGAAATCCTACACTTCCTTGATGTCTCCTACCATAAGAGCCTTCCCCTGGCTCCTTAATCCAAAGTGACAACTCTCCCTTCTGTTTTCCCATAGGGCTTTCCTGTAGGACATCTAGTGTAACCTGATGAAGCATGGAGTTAAGTTAGTTGTGTACAAACCTGCCTTGCCCTGTACACAGTGCCCATGTCCACAAGGGATCAGAACATTTTCATGATTTGCAATAGGTTTGGGGCTGCCTTCGACATTAGCTGTGTGGGTGGGCCTTCTGTACAGTAACTGTTTAAAATCTTGAATTTAGAAATAAAAAATCAGGGGCTTTTTAATGTAGGGTGAATCTTACTTTCTCAAGGATAAACACTTGAAGTAGAATGTTTAGCTTTATTGTCACTTTGGTTTTCTTTTACTCTTAGAAGCCTGAGCTCAAAAAATTCCCCTTTTAGCCCAAAGAAATCAAGACCAAAGAAAATCAGAAAGAAGACATAATGGGAGTTATTTTTTAGATGATAAATAAGTGTAATAACACTTATTACTCGGTATCTCGGAGACTACTAAAATCTTTTTCTCATGGTCTCCTGATATAGAAAAATTATAGAAAAATAAAGATGGGGGAAGTGAGATACTATGTAACATTAATTTATGTAGCCAACTCAAGTTTTTTCCACTAGATTTTTGTGGTCTAGTAAACTTTTGAAAGTTTTTAGAAGTTGACTATTTCCTAGAATCTTGGATTGACATCAGAGATGGGATATTTGGGGAGATGCCTGGCTCTGGTGGTTAGCACTAGCCATAATATTAGTGGTTCATAGGTGGCTACAATTCATAGACCAGGGCTAATGTCCATAAAGTTTCTTTATAGGAACCCGTAATCTTTCTGAGAGTACCAGTCCTCAATCCTGGAACACCCATCCCCCTTCTGTACATCAGCTCTGTCTCTCATCATATAGAAAGTGAGACAGGACCAGAGGGAGGGGAGGACAAGCGTCTTCTTTACCTTTTCATGCTTACCAGGGTGTTGCAGTTAACTTTTATTACTTGTCAAGGCTAGTGAAGATTGGCAGAAACAATCCTAAAATAATTTCTATATAACTCTACATCACCCTACAGAATTATTTCCCTTTTTCAAATGGGCTTTCAAATTCTCTTTCTGTCAAGAATAATATGAGATTATTTTGTAATCGTTTCACATCATCAAAGGGAAATACCAAAGGAAAAGCCACGTTTGAACTTAAAATGATCTCTGTTGTATTTCACTGCCCCTAATCAAAAGTCTATGTTCAGCTAACCCAAATTAATTCTATCTATTGGGCCGAAACCAAGCCTTTGCATCTTGATTTGTTCCAACCTCCTGGAAATGCTCTTTTGTGCTCTGGATGCATCTTTTGAAATGTTCTTTCATAAAAAATAAACAAACAAGCAGCGAACATTAGCAAAAAATTAACAGTAAGAACACAGTCTATGCTAGGTTGCAGCATGTCCTTGCACAAAATAACAGGTCCTATTCACAGCGTGCTCTTGTAGATGGACAACCACATAGGATGTGTGCATGTGTGGGTGTGTGTATATATATATATATACGTACAGTACATATACAGTATATATATATGGGTAACAAATCAATAGGTTTCAGGGATCACATCCTTTCAAGTCGGCACAACGCCCAGCGCAGAGCCATGCACACCACGTGCCACTCAACTGATGGTGATGGCAGTGACAGAGATGCAGTTGGGCACTCAGCAGAGGGGAGCACAGCGCCAGAAAAGCCTTCCCGTCCCCTAGCCCCTGTGCCACTCCTGAGAGGACCCCCTGCTGCTCCTGGATCTCTCATCATTCTCTCCTCTGCCCCACTAGGGTGTTGCGCCCCACATACCTTTTCTAAAAGCTCCTGGTTTCTCTTAATGAAAAGTTGTTTATCTTCTACCCAGTGTGAATCCTGTTTGACAAAGAATATCGCGCAGTCAGCATTTCAGAGTGGCATGAAAGAGCATGTGTCGTCAAACCACTTTGCCAGAGCCGTCTTCTCTCCACCCGGATTGTTTGCCTGCCAACGACTGGTAAATGACACCCACCCCGGCCTGCTCCTTATTCCAAGACATTGGGGCCAAAGTTGCCGGGAAAATTTAACCCCCTTTTTATTGTCACTCACTATCCCTATCTTTTTAAGTCTGAATAATCCAGGACCAGCCTTCTGGGGACTCAGAAGTGACCACACAGGCAAAAAGTGAAAAGGGTCAGAATGCACACAGGCTAGATACATATGGATGGAAAACATTAAAATGCAGAACCATAAATGTAGCATAGAGGCAAAGAATGCAGCTTGAGGGGTGGGTCTTGGTCTTAGCAGCTCATGACCACTCTAGGCTATGCGTACAGGGCTCCTCTTCCTCTGGCATTCTCTCTCTTGCCCAGCCTCATTCACTGTTGTAGCTGGGTTCACACTCTGGCCAACCAAACACCAGGGACAGAAACAGAGAGTTGAACATTCTGACACAGTTTGAGAAAGGTCACTGTGGAGAGCCAAGCCGTGTCCTGGATGGGCCCATGCACAGGGTGATCTAGAGGAAGGTCAGTTTGAATTGTCTGCATCTGCAGAAGTGGGAGCAACCAAATGCCTACCTGCCCTTTCTGAGCCAGAGTCGCTTCCAGATCTTCAATTTTGGCTTTATACCTTAGCACCTCTGCCTGGAGTTGCTCTTGAGCCTAGTGAAATCAAAATTCCAGAACTCAGTACGTAAAATGGCAACTCAACATTTTTCTTCCCCTCATGTTCCTTGATTAGAACTCAACAATTGAGAAAAAAAAAAAAAAGAATTTTCTATCACCAAAGAATATTTTCAATCTATTTTTACAACCTAAATTCTCTGTGTACAATTTTCAGTGGCTCCCTTTACCATCAGGTTAAAATTCAAACTGTTTAGCTTAGGATTTGAGAACTTCTCTTGTATTTCCAATCTTTTCCCACCACTATCAATGCAGGGTCCATCCCTTACCTGCTGGTGATCTCCTTGTTTCCTAAATATGCCTTGTATCTCTCCGCTTCTCTCTTTATTTGAACGACCTCCCCTTCTGGAAAGCCTTCTCCCATTTTGCCTCCCCAAAATCCTTCTGATCTTTTAAAGCCAACTTTGTGCCCTATATTTAAATCTAAATCCAAATCTATGTATGTAGGTATGTATATATGTATCTATCATGTGTTTTGTGTGTGTGTGCACGCACATGTGCGCACATCAGCAGTTTGGGACGCTGATTTGTATGGAACAACCTTACTTCATTTAGTCTAGTAATTTTTTAGATTCACTTGTATTCTCTCCTAATATGATCCTACTTTTTGTGAAAAATAGCTTTTTTTGTTTTCTGGTCATACACATATTTTTTTTCCTTGTCTTATGATCTGGATAGGTTCAACAAAGTTGAACAAAATCAGTGATGATAAGTATTCTTTTCTTATTATTCACTGTGAGGAGAATATTTCTTTGGACTGTTAAGTGTTATATTTAGTGTTAGCTTCTTTATCAGGTTAAAAAATTCCAAGCTTTGTTTGCTGAGAATTAATTTAACTTTGTTGGCGCAGTGGTTAAGAATCCACCTGCCAAAGCAGGTGACACGAGTTCGATCCCTGGTCCGGGAAGATCCCACATGCCTCGGAGCAACTAAGCCTGTGTGTCACAACTACTGAAGCCCGTGTGCCTAGAGCCCGTGCTCTGCAACTAGAAGCCACCACAAAGAGAAGCCTGTGAACCACAACGAAGACCCAACGCAGCCGGAAAAAAAAAAAAGAATTATTTTAACTTTGAATGGGTGTTGGGTATAACCTATTTTTTTGCCTTGTCTTGAAGTGATTAGGTCTTCTGTTTTCACTGATACTTTTTCATCTATACTAACTATTTTTGCATTTCTACTTTCTTTGAATGTACTCTACTACTCTTTTCCCAACATCTTGATTTGTTTTAGACTATTTTGCTCAGAATAGTTAAGTTGTCTTACTTTAATGGCCATAAACAATGCTAAACCTGTATTTTGATGGGAAAGTGAGACTAGAGAAAGAGAACTGGGTTCTATGTCGTCACCTCTCCAAAAAACAAGGCATATGCTATTATTTCAATTGACCAATCCTACGCTGCTAAGAATGGGTAGTAACTACTGATAAAGGAATCCACAACTCTTACAGTATTAGGGCACAGACATGAAAGCACACACACACACATCCCTTCCTAATGATTGCTTACGTGTCTATTCCAAATCACAGTGGGTTTTCTTTAATGTTTGCTCTCTATGTATGTGTATGTGCATGTATGTATGTATGCTACCATTTAAAAATATAGCTATAATATCTATCCTTTCCCACTAACCAACTAACAGTAGTTCCTACAACACTCCTCAGTACATTGTAGACCTTCTAATTAGGAAGTAGGATAAAATCACTGGATGGTCACACTCTTTTTTTGCCCCAAGTAGACTAACCTATAAGGAAGTTATGGCATAGTGGTTATGACTGAACTCAGAAGGACGAGGTTCATATCCTAGCTTTCATCTAAGCTACATACCCTGGTTTTAACCTAACTAAGCTACATTTAACTTCTACTAGGCTACTATTTCCTCTCCTGTAAAAAAGAGTTAATAATAGCATCTAACTCATAGAGTTGTTTTAGGATTACATGAGATAATGCATATAAAGTACTCAGTACAATGCCTAAAACACAGCAATGACTCAATAAATGTCAAGTATTAGTACTGTATGTGGCTTTTTTAAAAAACAGACTTATGAGAGGCAGTTGCAACATAATGGAAAACACAACTGACCCAGTATGATATGACTTGGAATCCCAGTTTTGCATTTATTAGCTGTGTGATCTGGGGGCAATTCAATTAACCTCTCTGAGCCTCAAATTCCTCTTTTATAAAATACCCACCTTAGGGGGCTGGCACAAGGGTTAAGTGAGATATTGTTAGTGACAATTCTCAGTAAGCTGTCAATGTAATGCTGTGCACTTATTAACTAAGAAAAAGAACTGGCTAACCATTGCTTTTGAAAGATAAAAGTTTTCTTTTTTATTAAGCAAGAAACTAAAAAACATGGATTACCAAAATTCAACATTGTTTAGCTTTGAAAATATGTTTTCAAATAGCAAAAATAAGAACTATGTACTCAACTATCTTTAAAGGAACAAAAGCATCGATCTAAGCTGGTTCTAATGTCTCTAGATCCAAGGTTTGTTGACATAAAAGATAAAGCAGTTCAAAACTGCAGTGGAGAGAAGGGTACAGAGAAAGCTACCCTATTGGTACTTTTATGTCTGCAATACTTTTATGCTATGACTGTCGCAAGCCTATTCAGGGCACTCTCCCAGATGTACACTAACCTTGGCTTCTCTTTCAGCATCAATGATGCCTCCAGTCTGCTCCTGCAAGAGGGCATAGGCTCTTTGGAGAGCCTGGTACTCTTTTGTTAATTGTCGGAATCGTAGCTCAGATTCTTCAGCTGCTAGACTCTTGAGGTTAAAAAAAAAGTCGAAAAATAATTATGTTCAGGTCCTGTGTTCAATGTGAAATATTAGCATTTGTCCATTTTTTAAAGAGAAATAAAGGTTTGTATGATATTGGATTCTATGTGATTTTATTCTTAATTTTAAAGTATGTGTATGGGCACAAATACTATGACACTTTCCAGATGCGCGTTTCAGAAATATTTAAGTATTCATTAATAAGATAAGCATTTGCTTATTTATACCTTTCTGATTATTACCCATTTGGGCTTGGATTACAGACAATTTTGGATCCAAATGAGAAAAATGTACACCCAGATTTTGATTCCAAATTTGAGGAGATGGTAATCAGAGTTTTAGTTTCAGTTCCTTTCAATACATTCATATCTAACAACTTCTTCCCCAGATAAATTATAAAAACATAGTTTTACAGTGTTAGGTCCCAAACTTCAGAGCCTAATACAATCATCAAGGCGTTCTGTGAAAAATGCAGATTTGGGGGTTCCACCCTCAAGATCCTGAGTCAGGAGTTGTGTGGTCCAGGAACTTTCATGGTAATTGAACCCCCTAGATAGTTCAGATGAAGGTGGCAAACAAAGAAACTTGGCTAAACACTGTCTTAGATTTATTTAAAAGCTGTTCCTCTAAGCTTCTTCTTTGGTTCACACCTCCTCTGGATGAAGAATCTGGGAGAATAATTTTATTTTGAAAGAAGTCTTCAAGTTACAGAGCTGAACTTCAGAGAAGTTTCTACAAGGGCTACATAACATAGGTGAAGCTATTTCTAAGAGGTAACAAAGTCAAGCACAGTCTCAAAATTGGTCACTATTATGAGATTATGTGCTGTTCAGAAAGCAGATAAAAAGTGAAATGGTTTTTCTCCCCCTTCAAGGAAAGATGTGGCGACAATATCACAAAAGGAGAGAGAAGTGAAAAAGCTTACTTCATCCAAGTCATCATCAGGAGTAGCTGGCGTTCGGTCTGTTCTAAATGAGGCCATGGATGATGTTTCTGAATCCATGGAGTCCTCATCGTAGCCAATAAATGGGTCCAAAACAGGCCTCTAATGGAGGGACAGTACATATTTACCAATAAAACTAACAGTGGGGAAAGTCAACATATTATTAAAGCACTGTCAACTGGCAAACATGCAAATGAACAGAGAAGACATAGATCCTTTAATGCTTCTTTGATGAAATAAACATATTAGGCATGAACACAATAATTCCAATAAATGTTTGTCCTACATTATTTCACTTCTGATATTTCAGAGGAAGATTCATTAATATTCGGGCTCTTCATAAAAACACTGTATCCTCTTTTATGTTACATTTTATACCATGATGATTTTATGTCATTTACTCTGTCCAGTATTTAAAATATAATTAAGGAATTCTGAAAGTCCAGGCATCTATGGGAAGGGATTATCAACTCATATCATCTAATTCCACATCCAAATCAAATGATGCAATTGTTAAAAGCAAAAATGAAACACATTGACAAATTAAATAACAAAACTTTGTGGATTATAAGAGGCTATACAGATATTCATGGATTGAGAGTATCATTATCAATAATATTGCCCACGTGAATAATGAAAATATATTAATCAATTATAGGATGGGTACCAGATGCTAATATTATTCAGGGGAGACATCAAATAATAATTATCTCTTTCATGTTCTTGGAGTGTGACTCTCCAGCTTGTCAGATAACCCTTTCTATGTCAAACCTAGTGGCTTCTTCACTAAGAGGAACTCATATTAAAGCAAACCCTTTCAGGTTAAGATCCACAACGCAATCATTTTTGGACTTCTGAGAACTGTCAAGAGAAGAGGTTTTCTTCTGGCAGATAAACCCCAGGGTTTGCTGCAATTCAGGAACATGTGATTTATCACATCTTTGCAGGAAGATTCCTTGGCAAGCCTCACTTCTCTGGCCATGTGTGTGGCAAAAGCCTGATAACCTAGTTTTCTCATTACCTTAATTGGCTTGGAACTTCTTCTATGCTTTCTCCTACGAATGAGCTTTTCCCGGTCCTGGAAAATAGATTAACGACTTTTCAGATCTTGAGTTGGTACATATCTCCCCGTAGGGTTTTGGTTTTTTTTTTTCCCCAAAGACAGAGTTGTTTTTCCCCTGAGGCATTACATATTTCTATTTAAAATAAGATTATGTTTTGTAAATTCTGGCAGCTTTGGGTTTGATACTTAAGTATTTTCAAAGGAAGGATATTCTACAACCTTTCCTGATTATGTGGATCTGAGAGCCTCACAGTCAGGAAGTACACTGTGTACACTGTGTTGTTAATTGGATTTCAAGTGTGTTATACTTGAAATCAAGAACAAAATAGTCATTCATGTTCTCCCAAAGCACAATTCTTCAATTTTCTCAGATCCCAAATTATTTTAAATTTAGGTGTGGAAAAAATATTATTTTATTTTAAAGAATAAAACATTCTTTTCACTTAATCACTTGAAAAGTATAGAAAGCTATCTTTTGACTATGCTTGGATCCTTGTTCTCACCTGTAGCCTCTGAAAATGGGACAGGGTATCTGCTTGGTTGGAATCATCTAGTGTTTTCTTTTTTTGGATGGGGGGTGGTCCTCGTTAGAATGTTCTGGGAAATTCAAAGAATATCTAGAAATAACGATCGATTTCTTAATTCATTCTTTTTGTGAAAGGAGATAACCTGGGACTTTGGTGTCCACCTGCTAAATACTCCATATACTTACTGTACAAATTCAAAAGTGGATGGAGGGACTTCCCTGGTGGTCCAATGGTTAAGAATCCGCCTTCCAATGCAGGGGACACGGATTCGATCCCTCGTCTGGGAGCTAAGATCCCACATGCTGCAGGGCAATCCCGTGTGCCACAACTACAGAGCCCACGAGCCACAACTACTGAGCCTGCATGCTCTGGAGCCCGTGCACCACAACTAGAGAGAAGTCCACACGTTGCAACGACAATCCCGTGTGCCGCAACTAAGACCCGACGCAGCCAAATAAATAAATAAATAAATAAATATTTTTTAAAAAAGTGGATGGAATAAGTGACACTTATGTCTTCTTGAAAGTCTAGTGGACATGCCTCAAAATTCTGTAAGAAACTTTTAGCTTAAACTCAGGATACTCAAAGCCAAGCAAATTCCTGGACTAGTGAATCTGTGAGATTTATGAGTTATTAAGGATGTGGAAGTGAAGTGAGGGGCATAGAGCTTTGAAGCGCATGTTTAAGAAATAATCTGGTTAAGCCAGTGGTGTTAACTTTTTTGATCTTTCACCTTTATAAGTAAAAGTAATTTGATCATGCTACCTTAATATATCCAAAGCTTTTAAAATTTATACTTAGATGACCCTCCAAATGTAGCATATGCATTATAACATACACTCAACATGGAAACTTTTAAAAAGGTGAACCATAAATAATTATAAAGCAGAATTTATAATCTTTTCTTCCCTCAACGGCAGTAAATCATCTTGCTCACCCTACTCTGGAGACTACTGCTTCAAACTCCCCCATCACTAGTTCACCTCTGTAAGCCTTGGCTTGGTCCTGAAGAGTGATCACAGATGTCATTCACAGAATAAAGACAGAGGCGAAGAGGAAAACCCAAACGCGTATACAGATCTCAGCCCAAAGTTGTAGGTAACACAGGCCTCAGCCAGATGCAGATGGGAGTAACAACTGCTTTACCTACTTCAGCAGGTACTGAAGTCACAGTCAGAAGATCTGGACTGGAATTTCAGCTGTTATGTCATTATGATATTGTTGTTCATTCGACAAATATTTATTAAACTACCACTATGCGCCAGACACTGAATCAGGTGTTGGGAAACAAGAGACCTATGATCCTGTTATTGTAGGCAAAGTATTTAATCTCTGAGCCTCAGAATCTTGATACTGGAAAGGAATTATAAGATATATCACACAATCCACCTACTCACATTATAATGCATTTGGGAATTATTTTAATGTGCTTTGCAACTATTATTTGTGTTACCAAAATTATTAACTGCTTCTAGTGTATGTTGATTTCTTGGCTACTTGTCCTTGGAAACAGCTTAGAGTTTATAGATTAATCAAGACCTACCCTTGTGAGCTCATCAATAATGTTCTGCTGTTCAATGACCTGAAGTTTTAGAAACTCTGTCTCTTGTTCTTCATTAGCTTGATCGAGGTCATTCAGAGATTTTAATTTCTTCAAGGGTGGATGAGATGTAATTTTTTCTCTCTGGGTTGAAAAAAAAAAAGAAAGTGCAAGTGGAGACTTTGAAAATCCCAAACTTTAGTGGTTAACATAAAATATCTGTAGAAACTTTATGAGGCTACAGCTAAATGTGAAAATGGCCCAGCTTCAATACACACACACACCAACTAACACCCTCAAGTACATTTTGTCTTCTGTAATAGGTGGAAATCATTGGGAATGTCTGAAGATCTCTACAGCAGGACGGGAAGTCTGTGAAGGAGTACGTTAGCACATCACCTCTATATATAATGAAAATGATGGCATCTGTTCTCAGTTACTATGCAAGATCTTAGGAGATGTGGGGTACCCACTGTACGGTTCCACAAAGTGCACGTTAGTGAAATTCCTGGAAGGAGGTTTCTATTTTTTTAATTTTATTAATTTTAAAAAAAGTTTTATTGACGTTTAGTTGATTTACAATGTTGTGTTAATTTCTGCTGTATAGCAAAGTGACTCAGTTATACATATACATATATTCTTTTCCATATTCTTTTCCATTCTGGAATATCACAGGATATTGAATCTAGTTCCCTGTGCTGCACAGTAGGACCTTGTTTATCTTGGAAGGAGGTTTCTGTGGCTGAGGAGCTAGGTTGAAACTCTGCTTCTCTATTTTGGAGCTTTTGGAGAGTGTGCAGATTCCTGGAAGTGCTCTCATCATTCTGCAAAATTTAGAAACCCCACAAAATTCAAAGCCAGCAACCTTCTCTTGATTTCTTCCTTATGTGTTCCTTGCTTACGGAAGGGAAAAATCTAAGCTTTCACAAATAGCATTGTATTTTAAAAATAAACTGGGAAAGACCAGGAAGTCAGGTTAACAGAGTAATAAAAAGAAAGAAGCTGCAGTTTTGCAGAGTCTGTGGTACACACCATTTCTGAATTTTCCTTGGTAACGGCTTTTAGTTTCTCTTCCATGCGCTGCAAAGACACCATCAGTTCATCGTTTCTCTTGGCGAGGCACTTGTTCCTTTCCAGAAGAGGTTTACATTGTTTTTCGGTTTCCCGCACGCGTTTTAACTGGGAAGACATAAGACAATGTGTCCCTTGTGTTTAGAGGCTGAAAATGACTTCATTATACCAAGAGCCACCAAAAAGAATGTAAAATGTAAGGCACAGAGCATGATATTTTAAACACAAACATCCAAAAATGACGTAAAAAATCCCTAATGCTAATAAGAAAATGAACGCACAAGAGGAAATGGGCAAAAGACAAAGGGCAAATCACACAGGATACCCAAAAGGCCAATAGATATTTGAAAAGTTACTCCACCTCATTAGTGAGAAGGGAAATAAAAATGAAAATCCTACAATAAGAATATACCTCACACCCACCAAAATGACCAATTATCTTTGCATGTTGACAAAGACATGGAGAAACTACAACTCTCATACACTGTTGGGGGAAATGTGGCTATTAAGACAACTGTGGAAAACTGGTAGCAACTGCTGAAGCTGACTGCATGCATACTCTATGATCCAGTAATTCTGTTCCTTCGTATATTCCCCCCAGACATGAGCACATTTTCTCACCAGGACATGTAGCAGCACCATTAACAGCTATAAATTGTTATGAAACAACATTAATGTCCATTAACAATAGATGAATATATATATATTTATCATACAATTGTATATACATATCATATATTGTTTATACTTTTACAATAAATATATAATTATATCGTATATAACTGAATATGATAGAAAGTGAAAATAAATGAATTCTACATGCAACACAGTGGATGACTCTCACCAATGTAACGCTGAGCAAAAAAGCCCGACACAAAGGAGTAATTATCATATGATTCCATTTACAACACATTTTGTTGTTGTTGTTGGTTGGGCTGCACGGCTTGCGGGAATCTTAGTTCCCCAACCAGAGACTGAACCCAGGCCCCAGTAGTCAAAGTGCTGAGCCCTAACCACTGGACCGCCAGGGAATTCCCTACAACACGTTTTAAAAATGGCGATAGACATCTATAGTGAGAGAATTCAGTATAGTGGTTAACTTTAGAAGGATGGTGATTGAAAGAGGTCACACAAAGGGGAAGTTCTGAGATGTTGGTAATCTTCCACTTATTCATCTGGGTAGTGGTTATATGGGTGCTTCACATTGGGCATTTTTACTGAGCCATACCTTTATTACTTGTGCACTTTTCTTTATTGTGCTATACTTCTATAACATCGTATATACTACTATAACAAAATGTTTAAAAAATAATAAAATAAAAAAAATTTGCTTAGAACTCACCAATTCATTTCGTTCATCTCCAAGCAAGGTATTCCTGTCTTCTAATTTTCTTATAGTGGCGTTCAACTCAGCTATTCTCTTTTGATTTCTTCGCAAATCCTACACGTGAAAATTAAAATTATTATTTCTTCAATAATACTTTTCACAAAATTTTAGAATACTGCTCATAAAAGTAATAGGCTTGGTTCCTTTCATTTGGCTCATGAGTTGAGAGTAAAATGTTCTCTTATTCAGAGAAGAGTAAATATGTACCCTATTCCAATCCCCAATACTCTCTGCTTGGGTTTAAGATCAAGCCTGTTTGAAATTGTAAATGAATTCCATGTGGCAGATACTCCCTGGAGCCCTGGCTCCTGGCAAAGGAAGTGGTAGATGGTTGGATCAGTTTATGAGATCTGTGAGGTGTGAGACCAAGGTCACGCTGTGATTACATGAGGTTCATGGTTACATGAGGTTCACCCCTTGTGTCATGGCTGCACATTGCTTCCCAAAGCCTAGACAGATGTCCTGCTATTACTCTTAGCCAAAGAGAGGATAGAGCAGGATATAGGGATGGGATTTGCAAATTCCTGCATACCCCGGAGAAAAAGGTCAGACTCAGAAGGCTGGTGCATTACTTTCATGTATAGAAGACAGTAGGTTATAGGATAGACTTCGCTGGTAGATTCTGCCCAGATCAGCTGGCTTCCCCACTGGCATAATAGTCATGGAATCACTTCACACGCAGCAGTCATAGATTAAGTCTGTGCTCTAGAGTCCATAGGACATATATACTTGCAATTCCATTATCATCTTACATTTTGATAGTGCTGTACTGTTGGCAAAGCAGTTTCACACACACTCTGTTCCTTGATTCACAATATCCTAAAGGATTCAGCAGAACCGGTAAGATTCAGGGAGGTCGTAAGTTGTTCAAGGTCTATACTAATATGTATTGGATGCTGTGTGCCAGACACTACGTTCTATATTTACATATCTTTTCTTCTAAACCTTAGACCAGCTCTGTGGAGTACCACTATTGCCTCTATTTTACAGATGAGGAAACTCTGAGCAGTCAAAGGATCTGCCTAAGGTCACACATCAAACAGCAGATCCAGGATTTAAACTAAAGGGTATGACTCTAGAGCTCATTCTCTTGACAATTTTACTACACTGCAGCTAAGTGTCAGTGACAGAACTAAAACTTACATCTGCTGAATCCTAGTTCAGTATTCTTTCCGCCACCTACTGGGATATATGTATACATATATATATATATATATATATACACACATATATTCATAAATTATTTATTAGTTAGTTCTAAGTACTACTTGGGAACCTACCTCTGTTCCTAAAAAATACATTGTCATCTTTTTTAGCACTAAATAATTCGCAAGGTATAAGATATGAAAGTAAACTATATACAAGCTGATTTCTATCACTAAACTTCTGAAAATAATTTCTCATATAAAATGAGGAAACTCCAGGAAAATAAGTGTCAAACAATCAGACTTGAAGCTTTCAGATGATGATTATAAATGGTTTAGTCTTTTACACAGTTATACATTTTGACCCCTGTACATGATAACCATTTTTACCGATTTTCAACGCAATTGTCCACACAAGGGAAAATGACCAGTCTTGGCAAGAGGCAAAGTATTTTCATCTAATTTATGATTCTTATAATATGCTGATGTTTGGACAGGTATCACAGCTAGAAAAATTCTATAAAGGATTTTAAAAGATATGTAATTCTCTTGTGATCAGCTAATGCAGTACAGACCACTTTGTTGTCTATGAGTTTAGAAAACTCTGCTCCCAAGATACTTGCTTGTTTTATAGTAGGAGGTGGAACTGATTGCTCTGTAGTAAACAGGAAAAGAGCTTAAGTGAAAAGTAAAACTTAGGCGCTAAATAAAAGATGACTCCTGAGTTTTTAACTTCAACTTGAATAGACTTACAGGACTGCTGCAGTGTTCAGAGCCATCTCCTGCCCTTCCCGGAATTTCTCGTTTTGGACTGCTCATGTTACATTCGGCCTCCTTGACCAGAAAGAGCTGTTCATCCAAAGCCTCCTTCTGCAGTTGGAGTTTCTGTACATAGCCTGTTTGGGTCTCCAGTTCCTTTTCCAGGGAAAAGATGATCCTGTCCTTGGCTTTGATTTCATCCATCTGAATTAAATGACACCAATGACATTTTATTTAACAATGCTGCAAAGAAATGCATTTTTACAATGGTATGAGCTTAACTTTTGTTCTGCTGATTGATATAGGGGAAAAAATCATGAATATGACAAGTATACTGAATTCAGGAGTCAGACAAGGCAAGAATATGTAATGAACGGCCATCCTAGACTAATTAGGTGTCAAGGAGGGTAATTTTTTCTCTCTAGTATATCCTATGTAGGTGCTGTGATTCAATATATTGTTTGAAACAGTCTGGTTTGGTTGGATATGGAAAGCAAAAGTTAACTTTAAAACAGGTCATCAGTGTTAATAAGGACAGATGCTAAATATTCTACTACAATGTTTCCCAGGACAATGTGTGATGTTACCTCCTGTTTGGGGGAATGACTTTTGAGTTCAGTTTAAATAGCAGTAACAACTATCAACAGGTCATTTGTAACTGAAGAAGCTACAGTATTTCCAGTAGCCTCATCATTTCCTAAGGCCAATATGTTTGCATTCAAGTGGTGAATTTGTCCTTCCATGGTTCATGTTGTATGGTTCTTTCCATTCCTATCCATTTTTCAGAGCAGCCAGTTCTTAGCAACCATTTTACTATTGTAGTCAGAAAATCATGGTTGGGACAAGAACCGGAATAGAAAATACCTGGTAATATTAGTTACTATTTTCCCACCTATATCTGTGGGATATATTTATTGATCCCAACACTCATTTTTGTTAAGCCTGGGCATGGCCTCAGAAATACTTCTCAACTAAAGGCCAAAAGCATTTTGATACCAGTTGATCAGAGTTCCACTGGACTGAAAACTTTTTGCCATCCCTGGGTGAGGGCTAGTGAAGTTAATATCTATAAACAATCTCTGAAGAAAGCATAGCCATTAGGTAAAACCTTTCTTCTCATTTCATTATATTCCATGAGAATCTTAAAAATGGAAATAGAATAGACACATTTAATGCAAACAATATTATACTGTTCTCCTCTTTATAAAAATGTCTCCTTATATATAACAAATCACTTGGTATAAATCTTTCTTTGCTGTGTTCCTAAGACCAAAATACATATTTATATATATTTGGAACAGAAACTGTATTATACAATCACATCTTCCCACATGTAACTCTCTGTGAGCTACTGCCTCCAAGTCACAGGATAAAATTTTAGATCATTTTTGGGAGGCCATGGTGCTGTGACATCATCTGATAACTTGGCAAGTAATCCAACGCTGTCCTGTTAATTTGGGAGTAAAAGCATTGTCTTCATTTTATCTCCTTGCAGGAAACTTGAGTCCAGTGTTACTCTTATCTAAGTAGCACGTTCCTTTGTTAGATCTGTCATCTATGGTTTATTTCCAGTTTACCGTAGCTCCAGATCTGCATGCTCTTACTTGGTTCTTAAGTACCCTACATAACTGAACTGGCTGGGAAATCACCCCATTACACCCATATAATCGGCCTCGTCATTATAACTGAAATTTATTGATCTTTTTCTACATTCAAGGCATTCAGGGCCTTACATACCTTGTCTAATTTTATAACAATCCTATTATATAGGTTCTGTTATCACCATTTCACAGGTGATGACTGAGGACCCAAAGGGTTAAGAACTTGTTCATGGTCATATGGCTAATAAATGATGAAGCCTGATTTAATATACAGTCTTATGACCCTAGAGCCCATTCTATTTGGCACTACGCTATACTTATGCCAAGGTTATCCTTCCAGCATTTTCCCAAAGTGGTTTTCTGTAGGCTATCCAGTACCTAGTGTCAAGCAGTCTCTATTGCATGCTGGTTATAAATATGGACTCTGGTTTCAGAATACTGAAAATCTTCCAAATTTCTAGTTAGATGGGTACATAGCAGAATTCCCTGGGAAAATTTTCTACACAGAATAGCTCCCATTTCTCTCCTTTTCAGTTCCAAAAATAAAACTGGGTGTTGCAGTAAGAACAGGATTAGAAGGAAAAAATGAAGTGCATCTGTATTAATGAAAAAGTTTCCCCTGTTTTTCTGTTTGTACCCAATTTTTGAACCAATCTTCAGACAGATTAGATTTTACATTGTTATTAAGAGGGATTTCATGTCTGCTTCTGCAATGTGCTGGTGAAAGGAAATCATGGAAGAAATTGCAGACCAACAGGTAGATATATTTGTAGATTTTACATTAAAAGCATCGACAAGCAAAAATATATAATGTAAATATAATGTAAAAAAATATTTAATGTAAAGCTTCCTTTTCATTTAAGATTTTACATTAAAAGCATCGACAAGCAAAAATATTTAATGTAAGCTTCCTTACCTACCTGCTGACTCCAGAGTTCACAGTCTTGATTCTTTCTTCATCAGCCATTGTTGTCTTAAAAACCAAAGGCAGGGCAGAGACCAATATTTCTGCACTGTGTTTGGTCTTTATTGTCAACCAATGCGATAGTATGAATTGCAGATAAAGACTTTGGAAAGTGTAGCAAAGGCAACATTTTACAGTCACACTGTATTGCAGTACAAAGAAAATCACATGTTTAGTTTTCTAAAATGTTCTACGATAACCATTTTTTACATAAAATTGAAATCCTAGAGATACTGTCTAAGATGCATAATTGGAATTCTTAGAATATAAATGCTTAGACCTGGCACACACAAGAAGGAAGGTGTAGTTTTTCCTAAGAAAATATTTTTAGAGAAGCATAAAGTACACTCGAACAGGTGATAGTTAATATATAACCAAGATATAACTAATGCTAAACATTCTGAATATAGATGCATATAAATACTTCTAAGAGAAGGCCAATCTGCAACATTATAGCTTTCACACAATAATTCTATTTGTTTTACTTTTAAGCATAGTGAGAGACTGACGTGGCTTTTGGTCATACATATTAAAAAGTAAGACTCAACTCAGTAGGGGTTGAAGGAAGTCTTGGAAATTTGTAATAGCAAATAAGCTATTTAGGAATGACATCCAATTTAAGAATTATAATGGCCCCTATTCTGAGTGGCCCCTGTTTATTCTGGGAAAGAAGATCTCTTTGTAAAATGACTAAGGGTTTTATAGCTCTATTTCTTGCTTTCAGACACGGTTCCTGGAGAGAAGACAGGTGAATCCCAGAGGATGTTCCCAGTGGCTGCCATTTTCAGACACCTTGAAAGCCAAAGAAACTTCCCTTTCCCTGGTAAAAACCCCAAAACATTTTATAAATGGGAAGCCTACAAAACATGCTGATTTTGGAAGAGTTCATAATTCAGAATATTTCCATGGACATCCAAGAAAACAGGAGTCATTAAACCCATACTCTCCATACGTGTGGGGCTGGAAGAATCCAGTTTTCATGAGAAAGGTGACTCCAAAATCTTTTACCTTTTACAATGCCAATTTTGGCCTGGGCGCATTTACTTATCTATTGACCTATCTTGTATCTTGGCCATAGCACTAGACAGAAGGAGGGTACTGTTTACAATCCTCTCATGAAAGACACCTTTCATGAAAAAGACACCTTTCATGAAAAAGCAAACCCCAAAGCACTCTGAAGCCTGGAAAGAGAATGGCTCTGCCCTGGGTTACTAACCAGCCTCCGAATATCCCGCTCCGACTCCCACTTGATCTTGGAGATGGCTTCTTGGTGGGACTGATGCTCACTCCTGAGGTCCCCAGCCTTGATTTTATCCGCTTGGATCATATTGCTTAGCGCCTCATCCACCTGCTTCTTGGCCGTTTTCAGGTCCGCAATTTCCTGTAAGAGCTTAAGGCGCTCTGCATCAAACAGTTTCCGGGCCTCCTCGCGGGCCTCGATGGTGAGCGCTGTCCTTACTTTGTCGCTGCTGCCGTCCCGGAGCGCACACAGCGCCGACTTGAGCCTCTGGATCTCCCCGTCCCGCACCTTCACCGTACGGGCCATTTCCTGCTCGTGCTGCTTGATGAGATTCTCCCGCACGGCCTGCAGCTCCTTCATCTTCTCCTCGTGGAGCTTGGCTTTGAGTTCGGTCACCAGGACCGTGTGCTTGCGCTGCTCCAGCTCACGGATCCTCTTGGCTTCTTGAGTTTTCTCCCTTTCGAGTTTAGATACCTGAAGGCAGAGAGGTGAAAGGATGAAAAGAGGTGAGCCTCATCAAACAGGTGTGCTCCTAGGCAGGACTGGCAGCTCAGGCCCCTGTGATCCCTTAATGCCTCATCTCTTTTCAAATTCCAGCCCCCTGTGGAAGGAGCGAGGGGAACCACAGGCCTTTTAATGCTGGGAATACAGTGGGAAAGGAGGAAATACCTGCGGGTGCTTACATTACTTTGTTCAGAAAAATAGTTGATGTTCTGGGGCCTTACTGTTCTGTGTGGTCTGCAGACAAGCAGCACAGCCATCACCCAGGGGCCTGTCAGAAATGCAGGGGCTCCATCCCAGACCTACGAATCAGAGCCTGCAGTGTAACAAATCCCCAGGTGACTGGTGTACATGTTAAAATTAGGAAGCGGTACTATAATAGTCTTCACCCTGGTGAGGAGTTCAAAACAGATCACCTGGAGAGCTTTCTAGACTACACATCCCTAACAAGGTCCAAACTGATAAATGTGGGTGTGGGTGTACTGGGACACCCAGGTTGGTCCATAGTTCAATATTATGATCAGGCTAATAAATTGGTGCCTAAAGTGATAGTATAAAATATTCCTCCGCCCCTTTTTTTAGAAGAGAAGCTAATTGCTGCTAAGGGGGAGGTGAGAAACGAAGACAGTTGATATGTCCTCAACCTTACCTTTCTTACTATGGCAACTTGGTTCCACCCCCAAAATTATTACAGGTACACACACACCAGCCCAAAACCCTGCAGTGCAGGGCCCTGTGCTAAAGGCGAGTTCAGTGGCTGTTGTTATTTCTGCTACATGGGTGTCTGCATCCTTCACTACCCCGTGCTTTTATCTCCCTCTCTCTCCCACCTAAGCCAACACTCCAAGGAATTTAATAAAGTATTCCTTTTCATCTTTTCATCTGTCAGGTATTCTGGTTTAAAAAATTCTCCTGTGTTTTGTACTATTTCTAATGATAATATAGGTCTCTTCATAGGTTAGCAATGGCACTACCTTAATTTGTCTGTGAGTCCATCTCTGATTCAGTAGATCAGGGTAGGGCCCCAGCATCTGTAGCTTAAAAAAGACTCACTAGGCTCTTGTTGTACTGTTCTCCTTCCCCCTCCTCATCTCTGCTGCCTGCCTTTGTTCCTCTGTCTCTGTCGTTTGCACATACACACACACACACATACACCCACACAGTAACCTGGAAAAAGGGAAGAACTGGGCAGCCCCAGGAGTAATATCTAGGTGAGTGATACTGAGTCTCTGCCATTTGTAAAATTAGAACGTTTCATAAAATAATTAAGAGCCCTTCCAGATGAAAAATGTTAAGATCCAAATTCCTTATTGAAGCCATTGTAATTATAATGTAAAGTGTCTGAGATTTCACTTACCTTAACAGTTTACCTACCTTTAGCTAGAACAGGATTTTCTAAGTCCACATGGCATTTTATGAATATTTTATTTTAAAGGCACAGCAATTATTCCCACGTAGGTTATTCTAAAAGAACTCAGGGCACAAGGAGACTTGGCAAAATATGCTGCCAGGCATTCCCAAATGACTGTCCTTGGGTCTTGCCTCCAGCCTAGGCTCAGGTCCCCTCCCGGATGCCCTTTAGTTCATATGTTCTAGAGCTGTGCTGTCCCATGCGGTGGCCACTAGCCACACTGAGCACTTGCAATATTGAAAATCTGAATTGAGCCCTGCCCTAAGTGTAAAATACATACCCAATTTTGAAGACTTAGTATGAGGTAAACATTAATATCTCATTAATAATTTTTACATTGATTACATGTTGAAACTATAATACTTTGGATAAATTAGGTAAAATAAAGTATATTATTAAAATTAATTCTGTTTAGTTTTACTTTTTAAAATTGTGGTTATAAGAAATTTTAAAATCACATATGTGGCTTGCGTTTGTGGCACATATTATATTTCTTTTGGACAGCATTGCTCCAGAGTTCTTGGAGGTTCATTTAATGAACTGAGCTTTCTTCACACTGCTGCTGACATTCTCTTAGTAAAGTCCTGTTATGATCTGATTTATGTGCCAGGACTCCTTTCTGTTGGGGAATAAAATCCCAACACTTCAGCTGCATCTTTCAGCTCTCAGAAGACTTGGTTGGACTTCCAGCTCCCATTTCCACTCCTCACTCTACGTATCCAGGCACGGGGGATTATCCTATTTTCTGCACATGCCCTACATCGCTGTACCTGTGTGCCTACCTGAGATTCTTCTTCCTGACCTGCCCTTCCCTCAGCTCCTTTTGGGATCCTTTCATTCCTCATGACCCAACTAAATGTCACCCTCTCTGATCATGACACCCCAATCACCCAGGACCAAGCTTATTTCTCCTGCATTTGTCTTCTCAGTGCAGTTTGCTAATACCTCCTTACTGGTCTCTTCCACATTTTTCTTTATGCTGTATTTTTTTTACATACTTGTCTGTGCTCACCACCTCCTCTCCTACCTCACCTCAGACTGGAAACTCCTAGAAGGCTGCCAGTGAGCCTTGTTCATCTTTGTCTACCCATTGGTTGTCAGCACAACACATGATAAGAAGACAAAGCGTACGTGTGGAATTAAAGAATGTAAGCCAATATGTTCCCCTGGCTAGCCTCGTAACCAGAGGCAGGAATAATATATCCTGTCAACGTTTTAGAGAACGAACATAGGCTTGCACTGTTACCCAGAGCAGCCCTCATCCATCCCTTCCCTGTATAAAACAAAAGAAACCCTAACATATAATGTTTGCCTGTCCGCTGTTTGATGTTTCTCTCAGTTCTTCAGTGATGAAAACCTAAATCTAACTTTCCATTTTTCTACAATGAACTGAAGAAGTATCTTCTAGACCATGAGTGGGCAAACAACAGCTCATAGGCCAAATCTTTCCTGCCCCACCCCCAGTCTTTGTTAATAAAGTTTTATTGGAACACAACCAGGCCCATCCATTTCCATATTGCCTATGGCTGCTTTCACGCTACAATGAAGTTGAGTAGTTTCACAGAGACTGTCTGGCCCGCAAAGCCTAAAATATTTACTGTTTTGCCCTTCACAGAAAATGTTTGCTGATTCTTCTTTTAGATAATGCACTTTTTGACATGAGGGGCCTTATTTTTCACTGATTTAGAAACTCTGCAATTTACCTTCCATCTAGGAGCTTGGGGAAGTTAACTTTAGCTTGAGTGATAGGAAACGGGATCATCTTCAATTTCAGCAGGACGTATTTATGTTCCTTAGGCATTTGGACCATTAAGAGCTGATAGGTAACAAGTTACTGAGGGAATTTTAGCAACTCTTCCTAGAACAATAACACGTTCTAGTAAAAATGGATAAAGGGTAATGAATTCTGGGTTTGTATTTTGATTTCATTATCTGCTGTCTCTAAGAAGGTTGCTTTATTCTGAGGATCTTCGATTACAATTTTTAAAATACCTGTAAAAGAATTATTTTTAGGATTAAATTAGATAGTGAATGGGAAAGTAGCTTGAACTGTAAAGTACTATAAAATGTAAGGTAATGATATTACTATTGGATATAAGAGGAGATACTCTTGATCTAAAATTATTTGTCAAATTCTCTGCAGGTGCATTAGATTGTACCACTTTGTGATTCTGTAATTTCTCTCAAATTTATTTATAAACACTAATCTTTTGTGTGTAGACTGGAGAGGAAATGAATGAAAAAGAAAAAAAAAGTGAAAATACAGGTATATGGGAAATATATTCCAGCATGAAGACAAAACTAACACTGGCCTTTTTGTCTATCACATAAAAGGAATCCACAGAACTCAAAGAAAATTCAAAGGTATTGAATTACATTTGGCATTTTTTATGTCTGCTTATTTTGGTTGTCATGGAAACTGTCATTTTTGGCAGGATTTCTAGGTATGATTTTTTTAGGCTTGGGAGAAGAGTTTCACTGTGAAGGAGATACAAAGAATGTGACTGACATCTGGGAGGAAAAAAGAACCAATAGAAATTTTGTAGTAAAATCACTTTCTGAAAATTATTTGCAGCTTAGATTGCACCACTAAGGAAATAGATCTTAATATCTTAATGTAAATCATGTATACGAAAAGATGAAGAACTACCCCTGAGTAACAGTGAAAAAATGTGAAGATGATAATACTTTGAAATGGAAAAAATTATTTATTAATTGGAGAGAGAATCAATTTTGTTAGTGGAAATGTTTTATGGAGAAAATTTTCAGCTCGATCACGTAAATAGTAAGCATTTATTGAGGGTTTAACTTACTATGTATGAGTTAGGCAATTTTTTAAAGGCTTTACACCTATCAGTACATTTAACCTCCTAGGCAGCTCTATGATGTAGGTAGTATTTCTTGCACCTGAATTTCTGATGAGACAAGTGGGGAACAGGCTCTACATAAGCACAACATAAAGAAGGCTGATCAGAGTCCAGTGTGGGCCAGGAGCCAGGTCAGGTCAGATCCCAGGTCTCCTAGTTTGCTCTGAAACCTTGGGCAAGCTGGGGCCCCCGACTCAGCCTCAGTCTCATGTGTAAACTAGAATTGGTGATAACCTTCTCATATGATTGTTGCGAGGACTGACTTCCATAATGTAGCAAAAGTCCTTTGGAAAGGCTGGAACACATGGGAGGTTAATAATTATTAATACATGGTAGGTACTAGATATTAATTTTGATGAACATTATAGCATATATTAACATTATATCATGCAATGACATACTAATACCAACAACAACATAAATCTTAATACCCATATTATGGTAGTAAGACAAATGTTACTATTATTACATTATCAAGACCACAGCAACTATTTTCCTAATAGAAAGAGATGTTCAAAGATAACATTTTCCTCAAGATGTCTTGAGTTCCCTGGTGGCATCTAATCTTAACTGGGAAGACACCTGGATTATGTGTACAAAGAAGGACTGGGGGGTGGGGTGGGACAGGGCCAGGGGGTGAGCACTAAACAGAGCTTTGAATGGTACACTTCCCATATCCCTTTTACCCCAGAGGT